CTGATCAAAACTGTTCTGTTTTGTACTTGTTTTTGAAAATGTTTCAGAGTTAAAAACACTGCTTCCATCTCTAGACAATTGATATGAAGACCTTTGTGACAACTGTCCCAATGTCCTTGAACTATTTGATTGTTTAGGTGAGCCCCCCACCCTGTCAAGGATGCATCTGTGGTTATGGTCACCCCAATTTCTTCCAGTTGCAAAGATCTGCCCCTGGAAATGTTCACTGAATATAACCACCATTGTAGGTGTTGTATTAGATGTGGTGTAATAGGGACTATTTTCTCCAAATCTAGAGAGCTTGGTTTCCAAAAACTTAGTAGATGTAACTGAGCAGGTCTCATGTAAAGACGAGCATTTGGAATAAGATCTATGCATGAGGCTACTATTCCCAACCATTGTAGAAAATCTTTGGCTGTTTTCTGACCCTGCATTAACATTTTGGTTGATTGTACCAATTTTATCAATCTGTCTTGAGATGGAAGTACTATTTTTTGTCTGAATAAAAACAAAGCTCCCAGGTATACAATTTCCTGAGTGGGTTCTAGACAAGACTTCTCTTTGTTGATTATGAAACCTAGTGAAACCAATAGATTTAGGCACTTCTGTCGATCTTGATATAACATTTCTCTTGATTGGTTTACTATTAACCAATCGTCTAGGTAAACTACTAGACGAATATTGTGTGTTCTCAAATATGCTGCTACTACAGACACCATTTTGGTGAAAACTCGAGGTGCTGATGTTGGGCCGAAACACATTGTTTTCCATTGATAACACTGGTTTTCTACACAAAATCTTAGAAATTTCCGATGTTTTGAAAATATTGGAATGTGTAGATATGCATCTGTTAAATCGATTGAAATTGCCCAATCGTTTGGTTTCACTAGATTCAACACTTTGTTTAAAGTGTCCATTTTGAAATGTTGCTTCTTGAGATACTGGTTGAGGGGTCTCAAATTTATGATGGGTCTCATTTTGCCACCCTTTTTGGGGACAAGGAAAAATGTACTGTAAAAACCTGTTTGACTCTCCTGATTTGAGACAGGTTCTATTGCATTTTTTTCTAATAAATCTTCTACCTCTTTTAACAAACAATGTTTTTGTATTTGAGGGATTGTTGTTTTCTTTATCCCTAAAAACTGGGGTTTTTGAAGAAATTCTAGTTTGTAACCCTCGTTGATTATTGATAATACCCAACTGTCTTGAGTTACAAGATTCCAGTATTTTCTACAAAATGTTTGAGACGACCCCCAACTGGTATCTCGGGAAGCATTGCAATTTTGGTTACCTGTTCTAATCTCCAGTCATTTATTAGATTTCTTTGGGATCCGAAAGGAGCCAATTCTGTCTACTGTAGCAGATGTAGACGTATTTCTCGAATTGTCCTCTCTTGGTTTGTAGTCATAAGACCGTCTTGAGTAATTGGGTCTCTGAGTAGCTGTTCTGTAACTGTTATTCAAAACAGTAGTAGTTCTGGGTTTTTTAAAATTTCCAGAGTTTTCAGCAGAATTTTCTGAAAATTTGCGTTTCTGATTTTTTTCATTCCATTCTGGAATTAAATCCTTAAGAGAATCTTTCTGCTCTTTCCTTTCTTTTAGTTTCTCTTCTAATTTCTTGCCAAAGACGCCATCTTCTGAAAGAGGCAGGCAAATAATTTTGCTATGAATATCCTTCAAGGTATATAATCCAGAGTCTTGTGCTGCAGTTTTCCTTCTTATAAGATGGTGAAAAGCCCCTGCTCTCCCCATTTGATCTAGTGCCTTGGTAGACATGGAGAAAATGTCTTTAATTGCTTGAACTGTGTCCGCATCTTGACAAGTTATAGAATCTAACAACGTTCCTAAAGCTTGCTGCATGTAGCTTAATGAAATAATACCCATACGGGCAGCCATCTGTCCCTGATATGCCAAAGTTTCAATACTTTTGTACGGCTGGGAAATTAAATGTTTACTTTTCCCCCAACCTTTGGTTTTATTTCCGTGTTTTTTTCTTAACATTGGTTCTAAAATGTCATCTAGCCCTGGAACTTGTAGAAATGCTGCCGAGTTTGGATGAACAGGGAAACATTGTCTATATTCATCTCTATAAGCAGACAAGCATTCAGGATCAGTAATTCTCCATGACTTTTTCAAGATCTCCTCTTGTGTTTTGTCTAAAACTAATCCAGTTTTTTCTTCCTCTGAAGACGAAACATTGCCAAAAATATCAGTTAGAGTTTTTGTATGCTCGTCACTTTTATTGATCAAGTTCTGAAATCTATTGTTGTTGTTGCTGTCCAACTTATGTTGATTGTTATCAGAATCATGGGCAGTAATAGATTCCTCTTGAACTGAGGATTCGTTATCACCCAATAGCTCACGTACTTCTCTGACACTTGGAGCTAATGATATCATATCGTCCATTTCAGGCACACTTAATGTCCCTTCAATTTGGACTTCACTTTCCAAAGGTATAATCGGACGCATTCCAGATGAATCGTCTACATTTGATACCATGGGCTCAGGTCTCCGCGTGGATAAACCACCGGTATCCTGATCCGCTAACGAATTATGAGACACGTTTGTCTCGTGTACATTATGAGAAGCTGTATTCTCTAAAACACTGCTGGACAAAGTTTGAATACTTTCTCTTAAAAAATTCATCATAGTGTCTAACCTTTCGTTGACTCTGTTTTCTAATTGTTCCATTTTCTCGTTAGCTTTGCTGGAGGATTTCCTACCGGACCGCGGTTTTTTTCCTTTGGCCTCCATTACTGACTGTAAATTCTGGAATTCCGAGCCCGAATTTAATTCGTCGTTCGAAATAAAACTGGCTTCTTCCATACTTAAACTAAGAGCATGAGAGAGTATCTAAACCAATACCGTATACAAATACAAAGTATTTGTATCACTCTGTGGCTGAGAAATCTCTGCCAAAAAAGTATGAACGTTCTGTTGCACGCCGGAAGATGAACTGACTTGGGCAAGCACCTGAGATGTGATCTCGGTCTTATAAGTGTTTGAATCTTATTCTTTTAAACGCTTGCCCGCGAGTTATGAACGTTAATAAGGGGAAGATATCCTAATGTATATTTATGACTGGTAAGTATAACGAACGAAATAAAATCAAGACAAATACAGGTATTTCTACGAGGGAAAATAAATTCCAAAGACCCCCTCCCCTAATCTTTGTTTGCAGGTGTATATACCAGTAATTAGGGTTAATAAGAACTGATCATTCAGTAGAATGTATTTATTTAAGTGTAAGTGGGAACTTACCTTGACTTGAATGACCCAGTAAGGTTCTGGTTTAAATGACTGTATTTTATCGTGTCTGTCCACACAGAAGCCCAGGGTGGGGGTCTGACAGGGACCATAAGATATCAGGGTGCTGTCCAAGTCCCCATACTTCCCCTGAAAATCAGTTTAAATTAGGTCAATAAAATTAAACTTTGCTTATAATTGAAAACAAAATGAAAAGCATGTCAATGCCTTTATTCAGTGATGGCGGACTTCACAAGTAAATTGTACTCTGTCTTTGTTTGTTACAGTACAATTCATGGTCTCTATTTGTAAACAGTTCATTCTATGACTGCAAACACTTAAAAAAAACCTTCAGCACTCATTCAGGTTTGCAGTACTGGGTATACAACCTTAATGTGTTAAATTTTGAGTGCACAAACAGAACTTCACATACAGAGAGTATGAAAAAATTGCCAAACCTGGAAATACTTTGTCTGATAGCGAGTGAAGGCACATCCTATTCTGAGGTCTAACTCTTGTCTGGCATCCACAGACAGTGCCTCGTTCTTGTTGGGAGTGATCAGTTTAGACATGGCACTTTTAATATCCTTGTCTGTGATGGCACTAAACTTTGCTCTGTACACTGCCTAAAAAGGAAAAATAATAACTATTTATAACATCAGCATAAAAGTATTAATTATGTTACAGTATTAGATTTATTAATTTATTTAATAAATCTATATTATATTTCATGTTTTTAATTTGTACATAAATGTATTGATATGGTCACCCAGGTAGAACAGGTAGTACCTGTACTTAATTTTTATTGCCTCGGGGTATGAAGGTTCTGATTGGTTGGAAGTATACATGGTTTTCATTGGTTTGAACATTGTAAGGTTGTGTTTTATTGGTTTACTTATTTTTTCCCTCCAAAAGTTGTTGTTTTTATGGTCATTCTTTGTCCAGTGTTTGAGTAGAGAGGGCCATAATTATAGTTTTGCTTATTCAGACTTTTGACATTGACAAAGACGCTATTTCTCTCTATTAAGGTAAGCTAATATTTATATACTAATTCTAATATGATTTCTAATATTTGATTTAACTGTAAAGTCTGTAATTTTGCCAAAGTTAATTCCATAGCACTTTCAAGGTCAGAATCTGATTGAGAGATTAGTATTTAAGAGTAACTGTTTTATTGATGCAGATTGTAGTTTTTATTTAAATAAATATGTAGATATTTTTATGATGATGAGTTTACTTATGTAAACTATGATAATTTGTAGTTATATGATCTGGACCATGTGAGCCATATCATTGTCACTATAGTGAATGGGAGACGCTCGATCCCATGGATTGGTAGGATATTATTGTTTTATATATTTTATGATTATCCTGAAATAGTAAGGTCTGTGTAGACACTATTGTAAAATATAGATCAGTTTTGTTGTATAAAGATTTTATGATTTTTTAAAGAGTATAATATTGAAAGGGAGTATTCGTGTATTTGATGTGTAATTCGTGTGAAGAGTTACCTCCCTTTATGCTGCGTATCTGTTAACCGCAGATTGTAATAACTATCTTGATACAGATATGTTAGAATATTTTATGCTATGTATCTATTATTTGTTATTATAAATTTCAGGGCATTTTCCTTTATCCTGTTTCCTATTTTCCATTTCTGTGTTCATCTGTATGTGAATAAATGGAGATGGAACCCTGAAACGGACTTACTTATACTTCTATTATAACTAAGAAACCGTTACAATTACATTACATATAAAACAAGAGATGTTTGTAAAACACTTATGCCCCCCTTCCCCCAAATTGGAATTTTTCCAAGTCCAAAAGGGAATAACTCTGTCAAAAATTTTTCCAACACAGAACTTCACCTAGATATTTATCTGATTAATCTGTATATTAAATTTCATTTCAGTATGTGCAACTGTTGCAAAGAAAATGAACGGAAACTGCAAATAATTGGAATTTTTCTGAGTCCAAGGGGCATAACTCTATTAAAAATGGTGGGATCATACCCAACACAGATCTTAACCTAGATATTTATTTGATAAATCTGTATATCAAATTTCATCTCAGTATGTGCAACGGTTGCAAAGAAAATGAACGGAAACTGCAAATAATTGGAATTTTTCTGAGTCCAAGGGGCATAACTCTATTAAAAATGGTGGGATCATACCCAACACAGAACTTGACCTAGATATTTATCTGATTAATCTGTATATTAAATTTCATTTCAGTATGTGCAACGGTTGCAAAGAAAATGAACGGAAACTGCAAATAATTGGAATTTTTCTAAGTCCAAGGGGCATAACTGTCAAAATCGGTGCGACCTTACCCAAAACAGAACTTGACCTAGATATTAATGTGATAAATCTGTATACCACATTTCATTTCAGTATGTACAACGGTTGCTAAGAAAATGAACGGAAACCAAGTGGACCGACAGACCGACAGACCTACCGACCGACCGACCGACAGACAGCAGCAAAGCAATATGCCCTCCCTTCTTCGAAGGGGGGCATAAAAATTAAAATTGGAACCTATGTAACATATGAGTATTATGACATTTAAAGACATATTCAAGTGAAATTAATATAATTATTACAAACCCCCTTTACCTGTCCTGACACTCTGTTCATGCTTGCTTTGACACAGTCTATCACCTCAAAACAAATGTTTTCTCCTTCTTTATCACAATCAAGCCATAAAACCAAGTAATCAGAGCCTCTCGCCTAATGAATAGAACATCTTAAAAATCAAATCATGCACTTCATAAAAGACAAATTTGGGTAACACGAATCACCGGAATGCCCCGTAATCACCGAAATGCCCCTAAAAATCACCGAAATTCCCAACAAAATCACCGAAATGCCCTAACATATGTTTTTACATGATGTTTTTCATAAAAATTAATGCCTAATTATTTCAGTAAAGCATAACTGACGGTAAAATTAATTATTTTCATGTTTTGTGCTTAAAGCGTATCATACTTCAAAGGGCGATAACTCGATTTTGGTGATGAACTTCGATGTTTTTAGAAATCAAGAATATACGTAAATAATATTACAAACAGAATTTTCATTGATATGAAAAATATGACTTTATGTTTAGAATATATTTAAAAAGAAAAATAAAAATTAAAAAAAGACTATTTTGGCATGTGCATTTAATCAGTGAGAGTTGTCTTTCTTAGATATTATAACATGCACAATCTTCTGTCCAAATAAGAATACTTACGCTAAAATTATGAAATTTTTATTCTGTATCTAAGCTCTAGAACAGTTAAAATCATCAATATTTATAATTTTTTTGTTTATATATTACAAAATAAGGGGCATTTCGGCGGCATTTCGGTGATTTCTTGGGGCATTTCGGTGATTACGGGGCATTCCGGTGATTCGTAGTACCGGACAAATTTTGTTTTGGAAAAAATATCTCTGCATCAAAGTGAAATAGGATTTAAAATGCATATGTACCTCTTTTTCTAAGAAACTTGGCATGCGTAACTTTTCTGTTGCCTCTTTCTTCGTAGTTGGTGCAGTAAATAATTCTACCTGTATAAAAGACACAGAATGATGAACATCTGTTCGACTTAAGAGATCTTCTTAGTATTGTAGGATAACTCATCACTCTTACCCTTGTGAAGTTTTCTTCATTTCTCCCCCCCCCCCCAAAAAAAAAAATTGATCCACTCTTCATCAAGATTAAAATTCTTTAATTTGTATGATACATACAGGGTCAACTCTATCCCAGCTGTTGTACTTTCCAATAAAGTCCAGACCAAACACATGTCCACACACCGATGTCACTTTGTATGAAACCGATTCCCCTGTCGGGGGAAACTTTCCCTTGTACTCGTGAATTGAACAAGCCCCATTAAACCCCTTTCTGGTACTCATCTGACCTCCAGATAAAATCTTTGCGATGGACTGGGCCAAAGACGGTTTTTCTGCAACCATGAAAACCGTCTTCATGATGCACTTTCTTTTCTGACCAACCGTCAGAAGATGCCCGATTTCAGTCTGAGGAAATTCGAGATGCGTTCGTTCAACTTAGTAGATAACTCGTACTAAAATGTCTCCGATGTATAAAAAAATAAAAAGGGAAAATATATTGCTAAAAATTATATGTGTAAATATATCGGAATATTTTCAGTTTACTTATGAGGAAATGAAATATGTTGCTATTTATGTCTCCAATAATTAACACATGGGCCATAAAAATAACTGTTACAGTTTCTCCATCGATTTTTTTTAAAAACAAATAGGCCTAACCTTTGACTAATTAAAAATATATGAAAAAGACATGATAATTCATGTTTATTTTGAAGCATCCTCAGATAAATTAAATTTCTTTATGATCTTAATTGTGTTAAGGTGAGACCACAATAGGCAATCAATGTTCCATATTGGAATACTCATGGAAAAATCTGTTAATATGTAGAACAGCAGAGCGCCATAGTGTCACATTTGAGCATTGTGGACTATAGGCCTCTTGTAAATGTATAAATATATCACTGATTTGTGTTGAACATCTGGCCTCAAAAACTTAACTATATATGTCAAAATTAACAACACAGTTTATTGCTGAAAGATCTGTTCTTTATTATCTAATGCTGTAAATATTAGCATCAAAGCAGGAACTAAAACAATGTATTGTAAGTAAAAACTAATGCTTGTAATCAGCATGGCTCATTAAATAAACATGATTTTTTTTTTAAAAATCCATATTAGTATTGATAGTGTACGTTTTGGTGTAAAACATAACACTGAAATTTTAATGTGAAACTTAAAATTAAAAAAAAAAATTGTTTACAAAGGATCATCTTTTTAATTACATGTAAATGTTTTAAAAATATTACATTTGATTAAAGCATAATAAATTATGTTTTAATTATAAAGGAGATACATTTACATGACAGAAAACCCTCTATTGCACAAAGTTTAACTCAATGATAACCACTATTACAAGTAAAACACAGATTCTTAAAGACAGAAAAAAGAAAAAGGAAATACTTCACCTCTCTGTATATCAGTTTAACAATAACGCTCAATTAATTCCAATGACTACATACTGAGGTAAGTTGTATTGTTTGTGTATTTCTTTTACCTGAGGTTAAAAAAATTCAATACCAGTAAGAAACATTTTTTTCTCCTTTTTTAATTATCATTTTAGTGAACCTCTAAAATGCTAAATGAAAATTTGTTGAAATTTACATCCATTTTGATTATACATGTATCTATTGTAAATGAGATTACCACCGGTATGATGTACATTTGAATTTTAATGTTCTCTGTAAATTAAAATGCTTTCTATGTGTATTTCTAATTAATTTCACCACACACTGGATTTTTTTTTATGGCAACAACACATCTTCAATCTCTAGAAAATTCTACCAGCTACATGTATTTCTTGACTTAAACTTGGGCCACTTATCAGACTTGTATACCCTAAACTCAGAGACAAGAAGGTATAAACCCACCATTTATATTTTTTAAAATGGCTTCATGTAAATCTAATTAATCTATGATGAAGCATATTAAAACTGTGAAATAAAAAGTAACAATTTCAAAAACATATAAGACAACAAATAGAATTAATCTAAAATGTTCACATATCAAATTTTTCTAAATAAACAAATGTACAAAAAGTGAAAATAAATGCAAAAAAAAAAATCCCAAAATCTTCCCTAAGATTTGTACAAATAGTACCAACACTCAAAAAGAGAATAAATACTCAAAATAACATCAACAACATTGTAAAGAAAGTAAATTTTTTTTTGATTAACATTTTATGATATGATTGAGAATTGCTATAGCAGTTTTGATTTTAAAGCTTAGAACAATGTTTCTAATTCAGTACCAACATAATTCTATTGTATGTACTATGTTAGGAAATCCAATTCTTTACTTCTGTAATAATTTCAAATTTGATGACCACAGTAGAAGTATATCAAAATTGGTTTCATCAATTTGTAATTCCCAGTTTCTTTTTGATAAATGCGGACATAATTCTTTGAGGACGCTGTTGCCATTCCTCCATAATTTCATGTGGGGTGGAGATTTGGTCACCTTTCAATCTATCAAGAAGTGTCACACAAAGCACAGCACCTACAAACATACAGACACAACTGAGCATTAATTATGTACAGTTAAACACAGTTAAATTAAAATTTTAAAAATTCTTGCTTAGAACCATTTCCAGCTTAGTTTGGACTTTCAGTAAGGAGTGGCATTCTCGGCACTACATGTTTACGCCTGTCAAATGGCAAATAGATTCTCATTGGTTAAGAAATTAATAACATCAGGAACTTTAAATTGTTGTTGACAACGATGAGACAACTTAAGCTCCACCTCTTTGCCGGACGAGACAATGTTATTGGTTATTTGATACACTAATTTGCATTTACCCGAATTTCTATCCCATGTATATTTCAACAGTGAAGGAAAGCTGTGTAAATTTCAGAAGCTAATTATGTAATGTCGAGAATGCCACATCTTACTGAAAGTCCAAACTAAGCTGGAAATGGTTCTATTACATGTAATGCATGTTTGGGGTTGTCTTTAATCAAACGACTGTTCAATATATGGCACAAAAAGTTACTCAGTTAAAAAAAATGCCTGGATACAGTGAGGCATTAGCTTATCTCGACTTCCTTGAAGTGAGATAAAATATTGAAAATGAGCTAAAACATTCTTACTTTTGACACCTGCCCTGTGGCACATGGCAGCAAAACACAATGATTCCATTTCAATATTGGCAATCCCCTTTCCGTGAGCTCGCTTGAGAAAGTTCATCTTGTCCTCCTCAGTGAAGTCACAAAATGCTCCATCCAACCTGCCCTGACCTTGAAAAGTAAAAAGAAAATACTCAAAATGAGTATCCAAAAAATGGTATGGCTGTTTATTTTGTTGTAAACAGTACATTTTAAGGCTATGGAAGATCTTAGTCCTTAGTCATTAAAGTGTTTATGAAATGCATTGTTCCGACAATGTCAAAGTTTTTGTTTCTGTTTAGTTGGCATATCTATACTGAGTTTTAGCAAAGAAATCTCAGTCTTTTACATTAATACATGCAGTTGTTTATAAAGTTTGCAAATGGCTATGTATTACCATCAATGTCCTAGATAATGTAACATATAATGTAGATACATGTAAGTAGATACATGTAATCATAATGTTATCCATGAAATACAATGTATATTACCTTCATAGAAGTCATATGTGCACATTGTTTTCCCTAGCACTGTCTCACATCCTATAGATTTAGCTACATCTAAGAGCTCATTGTTTAGCACTGGACAGAGAAAAGCAGGGAACTGATTAATCAATCCCAGAATTGCCTGCAATCAAATTACATGTATGTCAAACAAACTGCTAAAATGTTCATTTTTTTTTCTTTTTATAATGTACAAATACATGTCATAAACATGCAGATTTGGTATTATCTTTTGTGACTCTAAAGATTTAAAAAAAAATATTTTGAAAGAAAAATTTATTTTTACGATTTCTCAGTTAGAAACATCTCTCCTTAAAAGAGCATATTATATATTCCAATTATGCAAGCCAAAATTAAATTTGTTTGGATCTAAAAAGTATTTATGAAGAGAAACTCAGTTTTAGTCCTTTGCTTCAGGAGAGCTAAAACTGATTGTCCCTTAGTATTCTGAACAGTAAGTACATACCACTTCCATATATGGTCGTAGAAGGCCGTCTACAGCAGCCTCAGATATAACAACAGTTCCAGGATCCAGGCCTGAAAATGAATGATAAATTTATAAGTTCAGCAAGGTACACTTATAGCAAACATGCTTGAAAGGAATTGGGACTTACAGTGAATTCAATGTGATTTTCATTCCCTTCGACTTTAAAATACTAAATGTGTACTTAAAAAGCGGGCTTCATATCTTAGTAGCTTAAGGGCAAAAAATGACGCACTTATTCATGAATACCACTAAGAAATCCTTTATTAATACTATATATGGCATGGACATGTGTAGCACTAGTTCATGATTATGCCAAAAACTCCATATCTTTTGATTGTGCTTAATTTTGAATAGTTACACCAAATTTTGTGCATATACAGTATTTTGTGATATTTATAGATATAACAAATTATGGTCAAAATATAAAATAAATTTATGGTGTGTTGCATATTGATATAACGTATAAGTAGAATTTTTAGTGAGGATTTAATTTGGGCATTATTAGCTAGGGTGCTGTGATTGCTAAAATTGAATATCGCTAAAAATTAATTGCGTTTTATTTGTAATGGCCTCTTTAGTGAGCTTTTTAATATCCCTAAAATTTCTTCTCGCTAAAAATTAAATACCCATTTTAAAGGACAAATCGGCGAAATCGCTAAATTTGCGTCTCGATAAAATTTCAACTTATACGGTATTACAGTTAACCTAAAAGACTTTTGACACTTCATCCTGCTAAATAATTCCCTGTTTAATTCCTAACAATTTTTTTTTAAAGCTAAGAGTCCTCTCAATAGGGAAGAAATTGTTATACTGTGAAATCACTTATTTTCATGGGGGTTTAATTTTTGTGTTTTCAAGGCCATGAAGTGTAAAATTTGATATATATTACTACTTAAACATTTTCCATCCACGAAATAAAGTCCCCACAAACCAAGATTTTTTCCTCAAACCTCAAAAAATTAACCCCATGAAAATATGTGAACTTACAGTATGCATCGATTAAAACTCTCTAAAGCAAAACATAAATGTGTTTAAAAAATTATAACAAGAGGCCCATGGGCCTTATAGGTCACCTGAGTATCATGTAACAACTTTCCAACAATTGAATTTGATTCGTGTTTTAAACCAGATGCCATGAAATTCACACTTTTAAAAGAGGCACCATTGCTTATCATAACTATACACTTAGCATGCTTACTTTGGTTACATAATACCCAGAGGTAGATCAGAGTAACAAAGAGAAAAAGCACTTCCACTTTATCAGTTGTGCACCCCACCCCACAGGAACCACTGACCCAAAAATTTTGGAAATTTTTTTTCATCATGTTGTTGATTAATACCAAAGTGCAGATTTCAAATTATTAAACTATTTTCAGACTATGTCCCCCCCCCCCCCCCCAAGTATCTCTGTCCCAGGGGTCCGGAAATTATTTACCATTTTGGAAGAGACAGCTTTCTTTGTCATAAATATGTACTAAGATCATTGGAATAATACCCAGGAGCAAAGGAGCAATTTTTCAAAGAATTCATGTGTTTTTACTATGTAAACATTAGAGCCCTGCCCTAACACAAGAAGCCCTGACCCAGGGGCCCTGAATTCACAAATCTCAAAGAGGCATCCTTCCTCCTCATAACTATGTACACAGTACATTGGTTTAATACCCTGGTGCAGAAAAGAAGATTTTTAATGAATTTATACAGTTTCACTATATAATTAGTAGAGCCCCACCCTAACACCAGAACCCCAAACCCGGGGGCCATGAGATTCACAATTTTGGAAGAGACAGCCTTATTCGACATAACTATTTATTTGGTTAGTTTATTTAATACTCAGGAGCAGAGAAGATTTTCAAAGAAATAATTCCTTTTCACTGTATAATCTATATAGCCCCGCCCTAGCACTAGAACCCCTAACAATAGGGTCATGAAATTCACAATTTTGGAAGAGACAGCCTTATTCATCATAACTATGCACTTGGTTAGTTTATTTAATGTCCAGGAGCAGAGGAGAAGAATTTCAAAGAATTAATGCATTTTCACTATACAATCTATATAACCCCGCCCTAGCACTAGAACCTCTAAACCTGGGGCCATGAAATTCAAAATTTTGGAAGAGGCGGTCTTTTTCAACTTAACTATGCACTTGATTAGTTTAGTTAATGCCCAAGAGCATAGAAGAAGAATTTCAAAGAATTTATGCATTTTTACTATATAATCTATTTAGCCCCGCCCTAGCACTAGAACCCCTGACCCTGGGGCCATGAATTTCACAACTTTATTAGAGGACTCAATGCTGATTTCAATCATATCAACAGTTTGACTGCTTGATGTCCAGGAGTAAGGAAGAAGATTTTTAAAGATTGCATTAATTTTAGTGGTTTTGACCCCACCCCTCAGGCCCCAGGGGGGGCAGGGACCATGAAATTCACAATTTTTGTTCCCCTTCACCAATGGATGCTATATGCCAAAATTGGTTGAAATTGGTTCAGTGGTTTCAGAGAAGAAGCTGAAAATGTTAAAATGTTAACGAACGACGACGGACGAAAACGGATAGGTCACCTGAGTTTACTCAGGTGACCTAAAAACTTGAACTTTCATTAAATTTCCTGAATTATAAAATCCTACCCAGTCCCCCACTCGTTCCAAGTCTGAAGAAGATGACCTCAGCGGGGTCACATCCTGCATGATTCAGCAGTTTTAGAATTTCATGGATCAGGATAGACAGAGAAGGGATTCCCATACCATGCTAAAATATAATATACATGTAGATATTAAAATAGTTCACATACATAAATCTGGTCATACTGTAACAGAAACAATTTACTGCCTCTGCTGGGGATTGAACCTGGGGCCTCTGGCTTGCCAGTCCAGTGCTCTACCAATTGAGCTAAAGGGTTAACCCACTATCCCAAGCTAGTAGGATGCCATGTATCTTACTCTACCACACTGTCCCCCTCCAGAGAATGAGATGTCCTCATCTCTTTTGGAGTGCCGATCCCTGTGGGGCAAAGTTCTGGGGGCAATCACTCTCACCCACCAGAGAACACCCGGGTCTGTCCCAATGTGGGCGCCAAATGTAACAGAGAGTCAGAGACAATTTTGTGCCTCTGCTTGGGATTGAACCCGGGGCCTCTGGCTTGCCAGTCCAGTGCTCTACCAATTGAGCTAAAGGGTTAACCCACTAGCCCAATCTAGTAGGATGCCGTTTATCTAACACTACCACAATAAATGTACATAACTTAAATTCACACAACTACCGGGTATTTATGATTGCTAGAAATCTTAGTCCAAGACATTTATGCTTAAAGTAATTTTACCATTCATAAAAAAAATATGCAGATTTATGTTTCTTGATAAATTGAGTTAATTTGTTCTACATTGGTGAAAACTTTTAATTAAATCAGGCAAAAATTGTATCATACAAATTTTAACAAATGCTATAGGAGGACAAACCAATAAATGAACAGTAGACAAATGCTATCCTTCTGATCGACAATCAGACGAGCTAAAAGTGATGCTGTGTTTCGATCTGACAGCAAAGTGATCCACTTACACTGACTGAGAGGACGGGGCCCACTTTATACAACACATATCTATCTGACCCTCTAGATATATTCTCTAAGGTTTGACCAGCAACCATCTTATACTTCAGTTCATCCACCATGTAAAACGCAAACGCTTTCATACGACTGGGTGATCCTCCAAAGCAAACAAACTGAAAGAACAAAATTAACATTAAATGAAACACAGAAATTCATTTGTTTGAAGTAGTCAGTCCTGCTGAAACAATTTAAGGTTCACTGACCCTCTGATAAGGTAGATAACTATTACTGTGATTGATGTCTGTTTATTTCAATCCTTACAAAATCATCAATAAAAATCAAAGTTTGCCCTCTAAGGTGTGGTGAAAATATTCATTTTTCAATTATAACTAAGTCAGATTTCTTTTCGATAATCATTACATGTATCAATAAAGCAGACACTTGGCTAGTGGTCAGAGAAATGAACCTTAATACAAAAACATAAAAGCTTGAGCTAAACATGGAGTAAATTCTACTTACCCTGACATCCTTAAACATGTCTTTTAAATCATGATGCTCTGTATCCAGTGCCAAATGATAAAGATAGTCCTCCTTCATGGCTGCCAGGTTGACATTCCTTACAAAGCTAGGCTTGGGACTTGGAGGAGGTTCCATACTGAAACCATTTCATACATGAATTTAAACATCAAGGAACAATTTGATTAAAAATTACAATGTTTTCCAATTCAGAGTATGATGTTCCATGGACATTTTATTAGTATATTTTTCTGGAATTAGGGACAGAAAGTGTCCCAGGCAAAAAAATGAAGCAAAAAGATTTCATTACAGAATCTAGAGAGGATGCATCTGAATTAGTATAAAAAGTCATGCTGACAGATAGTGAATGCCAAATCACTGACATGATGAGTGATGGTAAATTGCCACATCATTGATAAACAGACATGCAATTGCTGAGAAACAAGTTTGTCAACAGAGCAGGACATTTTTTATAATCACAAATTAGCAGTGCATATGTAATAACTCTAGATAAAATTTATGCATTTTTTAAAAAACAAAATGCAACAATCGCAAATAAATTTTGGTCTGGCCTCAGAGAGACACCAGACCAAAATTCAAAATCTTAGGTCTTCTTTAAAATAATTAGGTTTGCTAGCCCTTAAGCTAGTTCCCATTGTTGGAAATCCACAGCCAATCTCCCATATCCTTATTCAGAACAGTCAGTAAGCATATGCAAGATTCGGCGTGGGTTTCTGGCGACAAAGAGAGGGCTACCAACCAATAATTTAATGATGGCCTTGCGGAGATTACTTGTTTCATAGCTTTAATTGTTTGTGTCAATTAACTTTACTAGTCAATCATCTAGATTTATTTGATGTTTGACCCACACTATGTACAAAACACGGGGAGCTATCTGTAATTAGGTTAGGAGGAAAAAGTTAAATAGTCAATCAGAATGAAAGGGAGGGGAGGATACTGACCTCTAGAACTAAGCTAAATTGAACAGGAGGAACTAAGGGGAGTGAGAGGGGATAAATGACTGAAATGAGTATGTAAAAGGGCTTAAATTTTAAACCAAGTCCAGTGTTTAGGAATGTTGTTAGAGGTTGATGAATTGAGGATTCGGGATATTATAGTACATGTAAGTGATTAGAATTCTTTGTGTTTAATGAATCAAGGATTACACCACCCTTTATAAAACTGATTAAATAAAAAAAATATTCAACATCTTACTTTGTTAAATCCATGTCACTTTGATCCATGGCTTAAAGTTCCACAGATATAAGGTCGTTGAAAGTAGAAGGATTGTCACAGAGCATGCAAATAAAATCACTATACAGAAAATCAATGAACTATACAGTAACTGAGCAGCACTTCCGAGGCAATTAGGGATAGAAAACAAGCAAAAAGATCAGGTAAATCACACAGTGTGTGAACAATCTAACTCTTAGGAAAAACTCCTGTTAAACTGCACTTCCTTGAAACCCACCTTAAAGGCTTAATCAATATTATATTATGTACGAGGGAAAATGATAATTTATGCGTACACTCTACTTTCGTTTTCGAAAAACAAGCCACAAAATCGGAAACAGATCGGAAATTGGATATCCGTAAAAACATTTATCTCTTGCCATAAACATACTCAGATGATCCAGTGTGAGAATAATTATTTCTTTCGGTCAAATACAGTTTTTAAATATCAGAGCATAGCCAGTTTGTTTGTGTACGTGTTTGTATGGGATGGAAAGGAGTGGGGGGGGGGGGGGTCATTTGTTAATCTTTATATAGGCAAATTGTTATGGTATGGCAATATCATCATGAAAGATAAAAGTTCTTTCACTCAATTTAATTTTTTTTTCAGATAATCTGTTTTAAATAATAAAGGAGATGGGTGAACTTAGCGTGCAAAAAACCCACAAGCTTCAGATATATAAAAATCATATTCAAATTGTGGATTTAGTATTTAGAGAAAAGTTATAATTCTCATCATTGATTTTTATGTAATCATGAGAAACAAAAAGTTTTGAGGAAAATTTTTCGTTAACATTTATTCTTTTATATAAAAAAAAAATAATGTGGTATCCATTGGGTTCGAATCCTGGCAATAAAAATTCTGAGTTTCATTCTCTATTGAGACTAGCACGCTAACCACTATGCTACACAAGTCCTGATGAAGTGTGGCATTTAATCATTTTTGTGATATGGCCATTGACTTAAGGGACTTCAAGTATTTCTTGAAAAGATACGAAAGTTATGTCATAAACTTATATTTTTAAGGTATAGTGGGTCATTGCTCCATAATTTTGGAAACCAAAATATGTATGTTTTTATGCAAACTTTGGGGATTATACCTTTCAAAAAAATGGAGAGAAGACCCACTCATAACGAAAAATAGTGTTACAGTGTGAAAAAATGACTCGTTTTGTCCTCTTCCGTGTGTGTATAATATTTCATAGGCAAATAACTTCAATTTTCATGAGATTTGTTTAAGTTGTAGAGATTTTACATAAAAAATACTTTAATGTTAGATGAAATATTAAGGAAAATTTTGATAAAATTGCGATTTAATTTTTCACTTTCATGTTTGTCGCACTATGGGCTTATCTCTCGTTAAGTTCACCCATCTCCTTTAGATTTACCCACCAAAACAGCATGTGACATACATGCAAGATGCAACACATATATTTTGACAATAGACTAGAATTAATTATATGTTGATATGCAACATGTCAATATACAGCATAATTACATGTATGTTGACACATGACTTATTAAGATCAATATGCCAGTTAAATATGTTGAAATTCTACATTATCAGTCTTCAGTATCTCGAAAATTGATGTCTCAAATGTCAGTCCCATTGTCAGGTTTACTAACCTGTCCACTGAAGAGATTTGGAAGTCCCAGGAATTTTTTCTTCAAGTACATGTATTTTATCCTTAATTTTCACCAGGAAATTTCGAATGATTAATGTATACAATTCTCAAAAAAACATTAATATATGGTTGAGACTTGAGAAATTCAAAATGTAAAACTATTTTAAAGTTTACAGATGTACTGACAGACAGAAGGACAATTGGTGATCAGAAACAGCTCATTAGTGAACTAAAAACTAAAACAAACACTGATAATATTGTCATCTGATTTCATTGAAATGAATAACAAAGAAATATACAATATGTGTTTTAATATGAACTAGTATTTCTTGTGTTTAAAAAATATGGACAATATTTGTGAATATTCACATTTTATGGCAAACAAACTGTATACTATCAAAAGTATCATTCATATGCATAATTTTTCATCAACAAACATCTACCGCATTTGCCAAAAAAAAATCAACTGATATAAATAAACACACAGAAACCTGAGATGGAACTCACAAAGAATGCATTTTATACAATGCCTCAACATCACACGATTTTGTCAAGGAGTACAAAACAAAAGGAGAAAAAATTCAATACCATCAGCTTGTGATTTCTAAAAACCAGGAAAATCTCAGTCACTACAAAAAAGTTTCCCAATGTGATAAACAAAGGTAGCAACAATATGTGCATTTCATTTGGAATCTCACTGCCTTAGATGGTTGTGTGCTACATCTGTGTTGAAATAAAATTAAATGGCAAAGCACCTGCGAACATCCCCACCCACCCCCTACAGTCAGAATACAATACTAAAGTCTTGCAGAGTGCCAAAGACTACACATCATCAACACAATACTTAAGTGTACCTATCAACTGTAAAGCTAGCTTAAAACTCTAAAGCTGTGTACAGAAACGAATTTGCTGCCATATCTTCACCTAAAATTTCTGTATAACTACCGATAATGCAGATCAAGATCGTTAAACAATACATTCAGTTGCAGCATTTGTATTAATGTATTTTAGCATGTACATGTATATATAATGAACACAGAATGAACTTACATATACTTTTTTAAAGAATTAATACTGTTTAGATTTTCATTATTAATCATTGTGGGGTTTTTCTTTGATCCAAAGTGAGTATGAAATGAACTCAACATCACTAAAATACAAATTTTGCAAGTTACATTAAGAAGGCTGATATGTACTAGCTGATATCATCTGCACGAATTGTAAACGTCTAAATTAGCAAGTGGAAAATTGACAATCTTTTTGCCGCAAGAGGCAAGTGAAAAGGCTGGACATACACAGTGAAAGTTGTCTAATCTTACTTGCAGTAAACCAAATTTTGTGCCAGAATGGATAGACTGTCAGATTGCAGAGTGTAAGGAACATAGAAAATTTAATAAAGTGTCCGAATCCACAGTAAAATAAATGGTAGAGTCCTTGGATTAGACAGTTTCCAAAAGCTGAATCTTTCAATGCTTAAACTAGTTAATAAAAACTTTTTTTTTTACTACCTGGTTTATCTTTTGCTGTTTTACAAGAATATGCCCAATGGAGTGTTCTTTAACACATTTCTTGCTCCTAGTAATGTTTTGATATAAAATAATGTTTCCTTTTTTTCGATCCAAGTTTACAGTATCTTAATCAAAAGATTCAGCATTTAAGTATGTCATGCATAAACTTTGGTTGATATTCTTTTGCTTTCATATCTGTCATGAACACCCCCTTCCAAATCAAGAGTTTGTTAGATTTAGATCTAATTTATCAAATTAATTGGGTTTTCATACTGAATACCCAACTGTTTAATAATATTCAATCAACTGTTGCAAGCAAGATTTTCCAGATAAGCTGTCTGTACAATAAAGGCAAAATCTACTTCACATGGATAAAATTGCTTAAATTTATTTTAAAATTCTTATTAGAATAGGGGAAAACTGAAAATCTTCACAAATTATTTTAGATTTATAAAGATATTGATGATAAGTGGTTTATTTCCTTATACAACATTTAGAGGTCCATGACTTGGAGTTGAGGTATTAAGCTTACACATATTAACAATTATATCAAAGGCTTAAAAAATTTGAATATCAAACACACATAAAAAGTCTAGCAGAAAGATGGCCAGGCAATAATTGAAAGTTAATGGTTTGTCTGCAACTGGGATGTGCCAAAATACTGAAATGGTCAAAACAGGAGAATACAGACTTAAACAACATCTAAATAATTTTCTAAATAAGTTTTTAAAGTTGATTTACTGACAAGAAGTTTTAAGTTATAGACAAAAATTAATATATATACATGAAATATCAATTTGACACAAGAAATTAACTATAGAATAAAAGGGCAATCAAGGTACAAGAAATCTTCAGATGAAATATTTTAAGTATCTAACAGTACACATATCAGACAGCTTTTATTTATTATTTATTTTTTTAATAAAATGTTTTTTTTCTTTGTGCAAAATAAAGTACATGCATTAGATATATATATTAAAAAAGGTTTATTATAATTATTTCTACATATATATAGAAACAAATAACACTAGCAAATTGTGTGCACCAACCAACAGTATAAAATATCTCCAACTTCTCAAAATACACATTTAATAGCATTTTCTCTTACTCATTGCAAGATTTACAATCAATGTAAATGATTCACAAAGAATATATGTACATCCACTCCAAAAAATGACATGGGCCATAAACTTACATTTAATTTTGAGCCATATTACAAGTACATGAATTACAATGCATATCCTTAAACAGAGAAATTATTTTTTTGTGTGAAGATGTACCAGTACATTTCACAGAGATCTAGCTGAGTCAGTAAGGGGGTAGAGGGGGTTTTGAGGGAGGCTGTTCCCCCGGCAGAGGTGGAATAGCGTCATCTGATAGAAAATCTAAATCACTAAGGTCAGACAAAGGTTGATATCCATACTGCTGACTTGCTGAAGAGAACGGAAAAGGTTGAACTGGCGGGGGTGGTGGGGGTATGTACTGACTGGACTGAGGGGGAGGGGGTGGGGGCAGTGGGGGTGGTAGAGGGGGGTTGATACGAGACGCACTGCCTAGCATGGCTTTTTTGGATTCTATAACTTGGGAAAGTGATTCAAGTTGCTTTTGAACAGCAACATTGGTTGCTATGGGAGACTGTAAGACACTGAAATCGTTTTCGGATACCAAAGAATCACTACCTATATCACATAATTCCATGCTGACAACAGAATGATTTGAGAGACTTGAAGACGACCTCCTCATGCTTTCCGCTCTCTGCATTTTGTTTCGCTGCTGTTGCTGAGAATCGTTTTCTAAAACCCCCGTAGGACTTAGCGGCCGCTTCCTGGAGGAGTTATTACTGTTAACGAGAGGACTACTCTCATACGCTTTCTTTGATTCTACTTTCACCTTCTCCACGTTTTTGTCCCCATCCCCCGCATGCTTTGGTAAGCTGATCCGAAGTTTGAGATCAGTCTTACCATTGGTCCCTGAACTAGAATGAGAGTGGGAGTGAGAATGTTTTGACTTGTGCGATTTGTGATGGTGACCCTCTTTATGTTTAGAGTGTTCATCCCCTGAGCCCATACGAGAGGGATGTTTAGAAAGTTTCATTGGAGGCACTTTCTGTCCTTCATGAGATGTTGGGGTACCACTGTGTTTCTCTTTTGGTGGGTGAGGAGTTTTTATTTTCAGTTTTAGAGGAGAAGATCCTGTTTGTGAATAATTTCCCTCTGTTTTTATTCTCATTTTTAAATCCGAGCTTCTGTTAGGCTCAGAGACAAGAGGAGAGTCTTTTGAAAAAGATTCAACACTTTGTCTTGATTCCTCATCCAGAGGTTCTGATTTGACTTTGATTTTATAGAGGTCCATTTTGTCAGGTGTGCTGATTTCTTGTTTGACTTTCTGTTTGACTTCCAATACTCTTGTTAAATCTGCATTCATATTACTGTCAATATTCAACTCTACTTTTAGCCTGGAATCATAGTTTTGTACAGGAACATCTAGTCCAGGTTCAGTTTTAATATATGGCTTTGAACTTAGTCCTTTTACAGACTCTGAATGTTTGTTTGAATGTTTATCATGGTGCGACTTTCTGCTTTTTTCAACTTCTGGTGTGTGCATTTTTCTTGTTGTATCACTGTCTAATGAAGACACACTCCTGTGCGAAATGTCCTTGTTTAATGCCTGTTTTTTATCCACGTTCGGTAGACTACTAGCACTTTTACTGATAGCTGCCTGCCTTTCTCGTTCCCTCCGTTCCTTGTACTCCGCCAGCGACGTCTTCTGTACAGTTGGTGTTGAGGTATCACTGGTTGATTGAGACAGAAGTGTTGCTGGAGACTCCCTTGTGTCAACGTTCAATGACGTATCACTTGATATGGCATCAAACACGTTTTTACCGTGCGTGTGACCTACCGTCTGACTAGTTAATTCTGTCTTGATTGTTTTAACTTTGGCTTCTGACTTTGACATTTCCATTGAGGAGGTGTGTTTGCCTTGTGACTTCTCTGGCTGTTTGTCATGGCCCGAATGAGAATGATGATGAGGTTTTGAGCTTTTATGGCTTTGTGGGTTACTTCCTAGAGCCGCTGAAGGTGCTGATGATGACCCCCGAGATTTCTGAGACACGCTTACGTCTTCCCTCTCTTTTTTGTCCTTCTCACCAGACTGAAATGATAATTTACAATTTGATAAAATATTAAAAACAATATATGGTCAAATATTTCAAAATGGGTGGAGGATGTTTACAAATATAAGAAAAGATTTACAATATATACATGTATAGCAAAAATTTCTATAAACAGATTGAAAAAAAGGTTGGAGTGAAAATCAGGATGTGTGTGGATGAAAATCTCAATTTTCTTATATATAGTTTTACTTTATAAGCTTACCTTCCAAGTCATTATCCTCTTTTTCAATTTGCTTGGACATTTATCCAGAATGTTAAGAAAGTCCTGAGTTAATTCTGTAACAGTCATTGAGCAATTGTAAGCCAATCATGCTATTAATATACAAGTACTATACTAGTACTTTATGTGCTAATTGTTGAAGAAAAATATGAAAACTTTCAAAAGCATTTAAGCAACAATTACAATGTACTTATATAGTAGAATTTTCAGTTTTGAAAAAGTCATCTTTAAAGTATATTTATTTATTTGTTTTAATTACCATATTCAGTTTTAATTACCATTTTCAGTTTCTTTCTTTTCTATTTTTGAAATTTGGATCTAAGGTGTCCCCATATTTCAATGCCTTTCTGCTTTTGCATGTTTTACCTGTTAAGAGCTCTGGAGTTACTGATTGGTCAACATAGTAATACCAGGGACGACCTTGATTGGATGTAGGGATCTGCAATTTCAAAAGTATTTTTATATTTCATTTTTTACATACAAAGTGATTGTAGAGGCACCATATTTATATGAAATGGTAACTGGCAATGGAGCTACTATGACTAAATGACAGAATTTTGGGGGGATTGGTGGTTTCCACATTACCAGCTTTTTATTTTACTTAAAATAAAATAAAACTTGATGTGTCAAACTGATGTGCCCAGGCCCAAAAACAATCAATTTTAGAAACTGTATTTGATAGTTTTCAAATTATTGTTTTCTTACTTGCAAGGAGGTCAATTTATTCTTATGGATTTTAAAAGTAAATTAAAAAAATAAATTTCACAGCAAAAAATTTACCCATTACTAAGTTCAAATCTAAATCTGAACACAAGTTGAACAAATAACAAGGGGAATCCAGCAATATCAATCCAAGACAATGTGATTGTCTTGATATGTTTTCTTTATATTCATCTATAAATCTTTGACCCCCCCCCTTCATGGGACAAGATTTTGTACAGAATTTGATCAGGAATACTGGTCGTGATGTCCCAATGACAACACACTAACCTCCCAGTTGGACCATTTACAGGCTAGCTCCACACAGACACAGGACACCACTGTAGGTTTATACTGTAGACAGAGGGTGGTCAGGTGTAAGCTGAAAACAAAATCAACATATCAAAAAGACTGCCTTGTCACAAGTTTACAATTGTGTACTTAAAATGCTACACTCTAAATACAAAACATCACTCATGTAAACTTCTTAAATAAGGACAAACTATATATGTGTATTTGACCTATTTTTTTCTTGACCTAATAGCTTTTAATAAACATTAAGTTCCCTAATTTTAGTTTGAAATGAAAAGAACAGTAAACGAAGCCATCTTTGATATGATGGCTTACATGAAATGTTTTATGCTAATTTTTCCTGTGTGGTGCTAGCCCTCTATTGACAAATCATTGCAAATGTAGAACCGACTGATTTTTACTTCAAAGACACAAAAGTACGATGGAAATACAATGGAGATCCCCCGTTCTGAGACAATGTATTTCTCAATTGTCAAAATTCATGGAAAAGTTATATTTTTCTAAAATCATAATACCTGGTAATAATATTGTTCTCAGGAAAGTCATCTTCAAAACATTTTATTGTTTTATTTTACTGAACGACTTATCATTTGACAATCTTAATTTCAAAGTTGACAGTTAAGGATATTTAGTGGAAAATTGGTTTACTAGAGCCATTAAAAATGAATTTTGAACATGAATAGGTCAAGTCTCCATTCTTCATTAACGCTTAAATGACGGCAACGTAAATGTGAAATATATTTCATTTGACCAAAAAATGGAATCTGAACCCATTCTACATGAAAATTGAACATTTCTGAAAAAAATATACCCTTCAACAAACCTGATCATTTAAATCACAATGACAGACATCGATAATGCATATACATGTACTTCATAGCGTAGTGGTTAATGCGGTGGGTCTTGCAACAAACCCTGCGCTATGGAGAGAGTTCGAATCATACGTGAAGCTTTTTCTTTTTTTTGTTTTCACATATCTTAAAAACATGAATGAAATATAAATTACTAACAAAATATTAAAACAATGAAATACAGAATTAAATGTGTAAAAGATTATATAAACCATATAATTTCGAAAAATATAGCTTTCATGAACTTTTAGAATTGATAAACGTTTTTTCTCAGAGAGGGGGATTGTCCTCGCCTTGTACGCCTCCATTCTTTAGCCATTTGTATTCATTTTGAAGAGATCATAATACAGATGCAGTTAGATAGGGGAGGGAGAATCATAGGGCTATTTATTTCTGTAAAAAAAAAAACAACTATCAAACCAGAATGAAGGGGATATCTGGTATCACCCATAGATTTCTGTTTAATTGAAGTAGGGACCAAGCAGAGAATTTTTTTTAATTCAAACAAGAATTTAAAATTGGACTAATTTACTTACAAAATTTTTAGAAATGATTTCTTTTTTCCATTGTACATATACATTTTGTTTTACAGATGGTAAATGCAAATAACAGATAGTTGCAAGATAAAAGATTTTACAAATCATGTTGGCCATATTCAAAGAGTGCTTTGATTTATTTTTTGAACCATGTCCTTTGACTTTTAAAGTTATGATAATGAATCTCCTTCTAAAACAATTCTTTGGATATGGAATTAGTTTCAATTTTAAAATGTACCTTGCTTCAAGTTTCTAGAAAGCAATATTGTATATGTATAAACATTGAAAGCCTCTCAAGAGTTTGTACTTCTAAATGTATTTGCTGATCCATGTAGGTAAACAATACATTGATCAGTCTTCTACTTTTCTGAATATTAAATGCACCACAGTATTCAAAACCAACCTGTTTGTTGCCAAGAAGTAGGAAGTCTGGGCTAAGTCCTTGGGTGCTGGTGTTGCCCAGGAAAGAGAAAAAGCTCCATTAGTAATACATACAAAATATATATCACCAATTGAATTTTTTTCCAGAGGCAACTTGTTTAATTCCATAAAGAGACGATATACAGGTACTTGCCTCAGTTTTTCTATGTGAAATTTCAGTCTGAGCAAGTTGATAATTAAAATGAATATTGTTCAGTTAGCTATCATTAACCAACTTGTTTCTCTTTCGGCAAACATGGAAATTTTGTAAACAATGGTTGACCTTGAAATTGATAGGGAAAAATGAAATCATTTTTCTTTGTCTTGGCAAATCTTCACTTATAATGTAAAATCATTTCTAATCTATAAGTAATATTCAACACTCACCTTTCACTAATTGACAGGTTTTCACAACATTGGTATGGGGGTGTTCTATGGACAGGTCGAAACCTAACAAGAAATACACATAATACATGTAAATACCTGCTGTAAATGTACTACTAGAAGCTTCTGTTGTTTATAAATTTAATGAATCATTTAAAAAAAAAGAATTTGTTCCCTGTATACCTAGCGTTTGAAGTAAGATGTTTTCATTGGTGACCAGCTGATGAGTTTGTTCCATGTAGTACTGAAAAGGAGAAGCAAAACTGAACAGAAAAGTACATTTATCTATTTTTCTGATAATTATTCTACTTGAATGCAATACAAAAATCTAAAATTTAAAAAGATTCTGACCATTTATTATAATTTCTCTCATGTACAATATTTTTTTTAATCTCACAACATGACGTTTAGAAGATAAATAACCTTAGAGTCCTTTACTTCCTTTTGTTATCTTATTACAAGATAAATCCACAATTTTTTAACATGCTTCTCAACGTGGTGAAATTCAGAATGTTAGCACTGCTACAAACAATTACTGGCATATCCAACCTCCAGCATCAAGTATTTATTCATAATTTTTAGTATAAATTCAGTAAAAACGCCAATAATTAACATGATTAAATTTCATACATATATATACAAAGTATTTGTGTAGAGCATCCTGATTGAAAAAGGATATAATTTACTGTTACAAAAAACCATAATTTGATGAAATTTACATGTTAAAAATGAAAATTGAAGGTTTCATATTTCGCAGCCAAAAATAAACATGCAGCAGCCATACTCTATGAAAATAAGGATAAGTTTCTTTAAAATTGATCATTTTCCTACACTCTATCGCAGACCTGTTTACCCATATCGTTATCTCTCAGTATTTTCGATTTGATTTCTCCGTGAGAATTGGCATTTACCAGTAAGATTGAACTTTCCATCGATTTTATATACATTATGAAAGAAAATTGCTTTTCCGATTACAAAAAACTAGCTTTAACAACATGATTGTCATTATATAATACCACAGCGTTTTGGTAACCCGATATCACTTGTGTTTGAAATCTTTTTTGATAAGCATGACCCGCCGGGTCATAAAAAAAAGCGTTAAACAAAAATCGGGTGTGACCCGACGAAATCGGGTGACTGCCAAATTCCAAAAAGAACATAATTTTTAGTATAAATTCGGTAAAAATGTCAATAAACAGCAAAACGTGTGAGACATAAATTAGGCTAAAAATCCGTGTTCCTCTACTTTTGCAGCCAAAAATAAACATGCAGCAGCCATACTCTATGAAAATAAGGATAAGTTTCTTTAAATTGATCGTTTTCCAACACTCTATCATGCTTGCTCCTACCTTTAGATTTGATTTTGCAAAATAAAATTTCTTCAAAAAAAAAAAAAAAAAAAAAAAAAGATTTCTGATTACCAAGATTTATGTAAAAAAATATGTGAATAAGATGGCCCAGGTTTCCTCCAAGGCCGATAGAAAAGGTATCTGAATCACATGCATGAACTGAATTTGAAAAAAATTTTAAACTGATATATTAAAAGACAATCATCTTACAATTCCCACAGAGACTTGTATAATTGAATCACTGACTGTATACTCACATTTCGATGAAAAACTGTGAATGAATGGAACATGTAGAAGCGGTGCATGTAAACTATAGCTGTATTGATACATAGTTGGTTACTGAAATTACTGGTTAAGGATTAAAAGTGCATTGGTGTATGTTTCATCAACATATAACTTTAATCATGTAGTTACTTAATAATATTCATAGTTGAAGTTCAAATATACAAAATTTACTGCTATAACCATTATTTTTAGGAATACATTTGATTCTTTTTTTTAATTCAGATTTTATTAGGCTTGAAAAATTGTTTCATGAAAACATAAACTGACTTTAAAAAACAAGATGGAAAAGAAAATTTCTTTTAGAATGCCTTTTTTTAAATAGAAAACACTAATGTTACAAAAGGAAGGCAATATGCATTGATTATTTATTTCATCATAAATCACGTGTCCGCGACTACATATCACGTGATAGCTATGGAAAAAATGCCGGTTTAGATTTGGGTCAACGGTGTGCGCAGATCGTCTGGATAAAAAGTTTAAATTTCTGGAGTAATCCGAGAATTCCTTGGATAAATCCTTGTGATTCTTATTCAAGGTAACTCAGGTAAGATTTTAAACATTCATTTTTGATCGGAGGATCGTTTTTATTACCTAGTTGCCCGATTAATTTCGAAAGCACGAGCGAAACAACATCGATAACATTGTCACAAACTTGCCGTCGAATTTAACCGACAAATAGGATACACTTGAAGTTTTTGGCCCATGTCTTGAATAAGGTTGGCAGCTTGCTGTCTATACGTAAGTTCTTTGTCGCTGTCTATCCCACATTTTCGGCTGGGGGTGTTTACAAGTTGCGAATTGGTGAAAATCCATCGCTCCCCCGCCATTTAACCATGCACCGAGAGACCCATCAGTGCGCAAGCGCAAAAGTATCGATGAAAGCCACGCGGTAAAGAAAAGTTTTATTTTTCATTGATAAAAATTGAATGAATTTGGATTTCATAATATTTTTTTCCATTTTTTCATTGTTGAAAGAAACTTAGAAATTTTATAAAATTTATTTTAAAGAACTGGAAATTTATTAAAATATATTTTTATAATATATATCCCGCACCTATAATTTTTGGAAAACAAAGGTCTGAACAAGGTAAACATGGTAAAATATTCTCTGAAAAAACACCTTTCACTTTTCATTTTAATTAGCAAATTACGTTCTCCAATAGAGCTCTTGTAGAAATCCTAAATTTGTGTACTTAAATTGGTTGTAACAGTTTAACCCTTTAGAGAGGACAGATTTTTGCCTAAACCACTAAGGGGGGCCTTGATAGACATATTGTGCATTATGTGTAACAGTTATATTTTCCTACAGACAGTTGCCCGATGCCCCGAGTGGTGCAGTGGTTAGAGCCACTGCGTCTGTTCTGGAGTCGTGGAGTAAGGAGTTGATCATTGTATTGCGGGTTCGAATCCCACAGCTCCCAGTGTGGGACATGGAAACCCGGTTGACAGGGTTCCTTGGGATGCATGATAATGAGATCATATAAACTGAGGTCTCCTGTTGCAGAAGGTGCTGGCACAAAAATGATCCCTCATTGCTCAATGGTTGTAAGTGTTGAGTATAGGACAAAAGTTGTAGACTTCCACCAGCACGTTTTGCAACAATCAATCAATACTGCAGACAAGTCAGACATGGTTTAGAGCTTGTCCCAAGACACAGTTGGATCAAAAACTTTTATTATTTTTAGGTCACCTGAGTAAACTCAGGTGACCTATTGCTATCTGTTTTCGTCCGTCGTCGTTCGTCGTGCGTTAACATTTAAACATTTTCAGCTTCTTCTCTGAAACTGCTGAACCAATTTCAACCAATTTTGGCATAAAGCATCTATGGGTGAATACAAAAATTATGAATTTTGTGGTCCCAGACTGGTGTCACTCAAAGCGATATAAAAACCATAAAATTAGTGCAATCTTTAAAAATTGTTGACATCAAGCAGTCAAACTGTTGGTATGATTGTAATCAGCATTGAGTTCTCTCAAAATTGTGAAATTTTCCCCTTTGGGCATCTGGTGTTAGGGTGGGGCCCTATTGATTATATATGAAAATGCATTATTTCTTTGAAAATCTTCTTCTCTGCTCCTGGGTATTAAATAAACTAATTAAGTTCATAGTTATGATGAACAAGAGTGCCTCTACCAAAATTAAAATTTTTGGCCCCAGGGTCAGGGGTTATGGTGTTTCCATTGATTATATTGAAAATGCATTAGTTTAAACCTACAACACTGATGTATTAAATAAACTAATTTAGTACATAATTAATGGGCTTCAGACATAAATTGTATAAGAGGAAATTGTTAGCAAGACACAATTATATAGTGAAAATGCATTACATCTATGAAAACTTTTTTTACTTCTGGGTAATAAGCAGATGAACTATTTACATATATATGACAGAATTGTTAAAATGATACCAAAATTTGGGGGGGGGGGGGAAGTTCTAACTTAATACTGAAAATGAATTGTTTAATTTTTAGTGATAATCAGACATTTTTGATAAGCGAGTGTGCCTTTTCAAAAATTGTGCAATGTGTAATGTCAGGGGTTCATGTGTTAAATCCTTGATTAAAAATTCTGATTAGTTGACATACACTTTGTACTACCCTGCTTATGGGTATTGTAAACAAACCAAACAATTGCTAAGTGTATAGTTATGATTAGCATTGTGACTAATGTGTGGCAATTTATGAACCAAATTCAATCATTTGAAAGTTGTTGCATGATGCTCAGGTGACCTATAAGGCCCGTGGGCCTCTTATTAATAAGCCCATAAATCATAATCCTGAATGGGACACTGTTTGTTTGTTTGGGGTTTTTTTTTGACTGATCTAAGCAAGATTCATTGAGACAGACAGAGATCTCTTGAATACCAGACTGGTGTCACTCAAAGCGATATAGAAAATCTTACCCAAACTTTGGCTAATTGTTGCTATCAAAATTGGTTGAAATGAATTCTCTGCCTGCTTCAACTTTTCGCTTTGGGCATCCCTTTAGCTCCCCATGATATGACTGCTGAACTTTCTTTCCTTACCTTTTATAGAAGGTTTAAATTCAACCAAAATAAAATTGTTTATTTTTTCATTACATTGACAAATTTGTTTAAACCTACAACACTAAAGATTTCCAGCAATAATCAGCTTCAAATACTTATTACTGTATAAGTGGAAATTTTAGCGAGACGCAAATTTAGCGATTTGTCCTGAAAAACTGGTAATTCATTTTTAGCGAGGTGTTATTTTAGCAATTTTAAAATGCATGTTAAAGAAGTTATAACAAATAAAATGCAATTAATTTTTAGCATTATTAAATTTTAGCGATCTCATTACCCTCGCTAATAATGCCAAAATTAAATCCTCCCTAAAAATTCTACTTATATGGTACTTTGTACTACTATGATTTGCTCAGAAATGAAGCATAGTACTGTGACTAATGTGTGGAATTTATATTTCCTTTCCTTGTCCTGATCTGGTTCATTCATCACCACATTGTGTCATGGGAAGACGCTGTAATATGTTGATCAACTTTCAATTTCTTTGTAAATGTAAAGGTAAAGATCTCTGTGGAAAATCCTTGTCAGGAACAAATATTCTATCAGACTCCTTTTGGTCCAGTCTTGCTTAGACTTTATGTAAAGAGTGCCATTTCAAAGACCTTGAAGAATTTTTCAAGGCTGAAAGTGACCATGGAAGCCTATATTTTTTGGTAAATTCATTCTCAGGAGAAAAAAAATATTTTAGTCAGATTCAACATCATAATATAATTTTTTTCCTATTGCTGAACAACATTTTTTTTTTGTTTCAGTGATGGCTCAACGGCAACCAAAAATACCACCTCACATTAACATTCGAAAACCTCGTTCACCTCCTGAGGGGCAGTTTTGTTTGTACAGTCATCGTACATGTACACACAACAAACTGCCAGGGTACGACTTCTGCAGCAAGCATATCCTAGAAGATAAAAATGCTCCATTTAAGCAGTGCGAGTTCAACTCGGCCAAAAACGGGAAAAGATGTGGAAGTGCAGCAACAAAGTCTGACAAGAAAGGGGTTCATAGGTATTACAATTTGAATAATACTAATATTTATCATATTTAGCATTACTGCAGATCACTTTACTTTCATGACACCTTATTTTTGTGATAAAGACATTTACTTTTTATTAGCTTGACAAACTTCTCAAGAATGAAGGCAAATGCTCTATAATTTATAATGTTAAAGAATACTTATATACTATGAATGATACATTTACAAACACACTATGTGATGAAAATAAAGTTCTTAGGAATAAAAAGTGATTTCCAGTACTTGGGAATGAATAAATAAGGTAAATTTTTTATAAAGTTAATGTATTTGACTTTGTAGATATTGCATGGAACATGCAAGGAAAGCCATAATTCTACGACAGAAAGCCCATCACAAGCGCAGGCCAGTAGAAACTGCTGATAGTCTTCTGGAGGATTTGGATCACTATAAACTGGTAACTGGACCTGATGGAGTACTAGAACATCAGAGACAACACTCTATAGGGGACAACATAGCCAACAAGGCCCTGGGTAATAATCACTCTCAGGCTGTACCAACTTGTCCAAGTAGAAATAATTCTGATGTACTGTGGAATCATTACAAAAAGGGGGAATGTTCATGGGTGAATAATTTTGATTGGTTAATAAGAAAGCCATTTCTTTGGTAATACTTGTGTAAAGATTCAATGATCTGACATTTTAATGAAAAGGTTGTTACTGAGAATGTTAATTTTAATGTTAATGGCGAATAAGAAATCCTCGTTGATCGACCACAAATACTAATGGTTCCACAGTAACTTACAGTACACATATTCAACATTCATTATTAAAGGAAGCGGCCTTTTTTAACTGTTGTTTCATAATACATGACATGTCATAGTACTACCCATGTTCAACATTCATGCTGATTGCGCTTTGATTTGTTGTAGATTATGCGAGCTCCAGTGACTCTGATCTGGAGTCCCCCCTAGTGGACCAGGCCTGGAGGGGGGATGGGGACAGTGATGCCGAGAGTATAGACAGTGACCAGGAGGATCTACTCAAGTAAGCTTCGGGTACTTTAGGAGGGGCTACACAAAAATTTATGTTACTTCAAAGTTGTCGTGGCCCTTTAATGAACAAGGCTGTAGAGTATTAATCATTTTACAGTAGGGCTCACCTGAGCCAAAGGCTCAAGTGAGAATACTAAAATCGGTATTCGGTTACTCACATTAAAATATTTCTAAGCTTATTTATTAGTGCATTAAAACCGTTTTAAACCCTAAAATACATTTTGTACATTTTTAGGGTTTCCTGCGCCTCTCAATGACCGTTACTTTTGGCAGTGTTTATACAGTAATTACCGTGACCAAGCAACTTGGCTTTTCTACCAAAGCACCCTTATATTTAGTTTGCTCTAATTATTTGTTTTCATTGAACATCGTTTAAGGTCTATTATGTTTAAATAAATTAGATAATTTTTTCAATTCTCCAGAAGCATTAAATTCTCGGGAAAAGAGACAGACGAAATTGCACGTGCGGTTGTTGATATGGATGTTTTTGAAAAAATCTTCTTTCAATGAACCACTGGGAATACAAATTTAAGGCTTTAAAAATCTTAAGTCCATCGTTGCACCAATCTATAACATACCGTCTCATAATTTTATGAAATCTAGAATCCAAAAGTGCACGAAGATCGTAAATCTGCTCTGTTAAAGGAGAACTTGATCAAGTTGATACTGTACATGTAGCTCTGATGACTGATCACTTGGACGTCAAACGCAACCAAAGAGTTGCATTACAATATGTATTATTTTTTTAAAAAAAAACACTGTGAACCATTTATGAAAAGCTGAAACTGATAAATGCACACTTTAAAAAATGAAGATTAAATTTCATCGGGGTAGTGTCATAATTGTTACAAAACATGTCTGTAAACCTATGATCATGTGGTTTTATTTCTACAAGAGTTTAAAATGTTTTAGTTATCAATTAACTTGTTCATATTTAATTACAAGGAGGAAATCTGGTAAAGAACAGAATGGTCAAAGCTTCTCAGGTGAGCGATGTGGCCCATGGGCCTCTTGTTATCGTTTTGCAGACATGCTGGAGTTTACACAGCAGAGGAGGTGGCCCTCATCATGAGAGACAAACTTATCCGTCTTCAGTCCCTGTATATTGATCAGTTCAAGAGGCTTCAGCACGTAATGAAGGAGAAGCGGAGGAAATATCTCCAGACAAATAAGCAGGAAAGGGAGGCACTGGGTAGGTAAACAGGGAGGCACTCAGTACATAACAAAGAGAGACATTCCGGAAATAGGAGGCACTCTTTATGAAAAATATAGAGACAGTAATGTCAGTATACAAAATAGAGAGGCAGTCAGGATGTAAAATAGGGAAGTGCTGATTATGTTAAATAAGGAGGCATTCAATATGTAAAATAGGGAGGCACTGGTTATTTAAAAAGGTACGTTAAATAAGGAGGCACTGGGTATGCAAATTAAGGAAACACTCGGTACATAAAGAAAGAAGGCACTTGGTACATAAAGTAGGGAAGTTATTGGTCTGTAAAAAGGGAGGCACTGGTTATGTAATAAAGAGAAGCATTCATGAAAGAAAGTATTAAAAAAGGAAACCACTATCAAGATGGGAAGCAATTGGTTGTGAAAAAGGGAAATAGTCCTTATGTAAAAAGGAAAGTACTCTACATGTGAAAAGGGTTGTAAAGAAAATATTGTAAACCAAAAAATAAATTTTTGCTAATACTGTGCAGGAAATGGTAGAGTTTTGTGGAATCAAATGTTGCCCTTGTCATATGTACAAATGATTGTCTTATAGTAATAATACATGTGTCTGTTTTGGTTTGTTTTGCAGGAAGTATAAAGTATTACAAGAACAAAGTACATTCCCGAGATAAGTACAGCCAGCTCAAGGGGCTGAAGCGATATCACAAGAGACATGGGAAGGTAATTAGTATTCAGCATGTGAAATGAAAAAATTATGAGGTCTGGCTTGTACAAACTCATAAAATCATCATTACAGTGTGATAAATATTCCATATAAAAAGAATCCTTTATACACATAATAAAGAATAAGCAATCAAATCTTATATGCATATTGACATACATGTATTTCATTTGCTTCAGTATACATTATACATTTAATAATTCAACAAATTCAGTCAGGGGGATCCAAATTTTCCCTTAACAGACTATTATTTTCATAAAGCTAATCAATAAATAATTTTCTGGTGACTAAAATTACTCAAATAAAATTGTGTTTAATTCAAGGATGTCATCACACACAATAATAACTTCATGCATGGCTGTCAGACAATCAACTGTATTTCTTATGCGATGATAGAGATATACTTATTCCGTTTGTTGTAGGAGGCCCTATTACATAGACAGTCCAAACAGAGACGGATAGCAGTATCTGAGGGGTACCATTACAGACCTCCAGCTTATCCAAGATGTATCTTCATAAATGAAAATTCAGCCAAATGTTCCGAGAGAGCCATTCCATTGTCCAAATACTGCAAAAAACGTATCCTTCTCAAAAATATACTTTTAAAAAAAATCAAATGAAAATTTAAAAATCAAAGCAAACCTGCTTTAAAAAGGACACTTGCATTGTCACAAAATCAAAAATTTATATGCATTTAATCATTTTCAAAAAAATATAGAAACACAAAATTAAACTGCACTAGCAGTTCCAATCTCCTTGCAGTGGCATAAGCTTCATTTCAGTACTTGAATATAAAATTTAAACATAAATTTTTTACTCATAATCCATGAAAATCATTAAAGAACTTTATTCGGTAATAACCAATATTTGCCCCCCAAATCAAACTTTGATGGAGATATATTTAATTAAGTTATATTTTCATAAGTAATGACGTCATATGTATGTAATGACGTCACAAACATGACGTAAATTTCAGTTTTTTATGAATTTTACAGAAAAATGTACATATTTCCCCGATATTTTGAGTAAAAGTCACCGAGCGCATGTGTGTTCAGGATCAATATTTTGATATAATATGTAGAATGATAATATCAATGAAATATGTCAATATTGTTCCTGAACAAACTTGCGCTCTATAAATTTTAAAGCTAAAATTGTTGAAATTTTGTCCATTTTGTCCTCTTTCTGAAAAAGGATATAAAATCGGACTAGTTTGTGACGTCATAAAAACAAAAATTGTGAATACATTGCTTTGACACTATAATATTTTCTGTTCATTTATATTTCTCATACAATTTATTGAATTCAGCACATTTCAGGAAGTTTTCAAAATTTGACTTTTGTGGGGGCAAATATATGCAATATACCGCATATAGTTCTTTAAGCATCTCCTCAATAATGCCATTTTTATGCCCCCCTTCGAAGAAGGGAGGGCATATTGCTTTGCTGCTGTCTGTCGGTCCGTCGGTCTGTCGGTCCGTCGGTCTGTCGGTCCATTCAGTTTCCGTTCATTTTCTTCATAACCGTTGCCCATACTGAAATGAAATTTGGTATACAGATATATCACATGAATATCTAGGCCAAGTTCTGTTTTGGGTACGATCGCACCATTTTTGACAGAGTTATGCCCCTTGGACTTGGAAAAATTTCACTTATTTGCAATTTCCGCTCATTTTCTTTGCAACCGTTGCACATACTGAATTCAAATTTGGTATACAGATATATCACATGAATATCTAGGCCAAGTTCTGTTTTAGGTACGATTGCACCATTTTTGACAGAGTTATTCCCCTTGGACTTAGAAAAATTTCAATTATTAGCAGTTTCCTCTCATTTTCTTTGCAACCATTGCACATACTGAAATCAAATTTGGTATACAGATATATCACATGAATATCTAGTTTAAGTTCTGTTTTGGGTATGATCGCACCATTTTTGACACAGTTATGCCCCTTGGAGTTTGAAAAAATGTCAATTATTTGCAGTTTCCGCTCATTTTCTTTGCAACCATTGCAAATACTGAAATCAAATTTGGTATACAGATATATCACATGAATATCTAGGTCAAGTTCTGTTTTGGGTATGATCGCACCATTTTTGACAGAGTGATGCCCCTTGGAGTTTGAAAAAATGTCAATTATTTGCAGTTTCCGCTCATTTTCTTTGCAACCATTGCAAATACTGAAATCAAAATTGGTATACAGATATTTCACATGAATATCTAGGTCAAGTTCTGTTTTGGGTATGATCGCACCATTTTTGACAGAGTGATGCCCCTTGGAGTTTGAAAAAATGTCAATTATTTGCAGTTTCCGCTCATTTTCTTTGCAACCGTTGCACATACTGAGATGAAATTTAAAATACAGATTAATCAGATGAATATCTAGGTCAAGTTCTGCTTTGGGTACAATCGTGCCATTTTTGATAGAGTTGTGCCCCCTTGGACTTGCAAAAAAATTCCAATTGGGGGGAGGGGGGCATAAGTGTTTTACAAACATCTCTTGTCTTCCTTAACGCCTTATTAGACATTGGAGAAGACCAATACCAAGTTTTGTTCCGGGCCTGTCAGTTTGGGGGAGGGGCCTGTGGAAAGCAGGTGTTCAGTTTAGACGAGTGCTGCACGTGTCCAACACATCTACCCCTAAAAAACCAGGAAACCAGGGTGTCCTTGAAGATTGAGGTAAGACCATTGTGTACAGGGGTTTCAAAAGGTTGCTTAGACGAAGGAAACCAACATAATAATTCTTTTTGGATGTTTTACAGATACAGTAAAACTCGGTTTTGACGAAGTCACTGGGACCTATGAAATTACTTCGCTATACGTGTAACAGTAATTCGTTATATCTTTATGAGAAATTCGTAAAATCTATATAGCTGGGGAAACATGATAATTTTGCTATATCCATGAATTTGCAACATCAGTGTTCGTACTAAACGAGTTTTACTGTAATGTCATTTCTGCCAACATTCATTTCTTATTGTGTCAGTCATTTGTGTTTTAATTTCTATTTTCCAATGTATTTTTTTGAAGGAGAATGCAGACTCAGTGGAAATGAAGTCTACAGAGTTAACAAAGGAAGCCCTGGACTTGCTACTTCCTCAACTGGACTTTTCTGCTCAAGAAATCATGAGTAGACAGCTTCTGTCAGAAAATCCAGAAATGCCAGACTCCATATTCTCCATCACAGAAGCAGACAATCATGAATCCATGGACACAAGTGACCAATCAAATCTCCCGGTGGATTCAAGTGAAAGGATGTTTCTCAGTGAAGAGAAATCCGAATTATCAGTTGGTGCAGAGGATGGGTTAAATTCAGACCAGAAATTTGGACCTCTTCTTCTGCAGCAGTTACAAGGAACATTTGAATTTTCTCACAGCAGGAGTAGTAGTAAGAATTCGGAGGCTGCGGCATCACAGAGCTCGGCATCGACTGAGACTGCATCGGAGTCGGCGCGGGAAAGAAAGGACTCGGATGTCACTGACAATGAAGAAGACTGTAAACTGACAGAAGTGACTGATGTCTGTTAAATATGTAAAGTTTTTGTCTATGCTTGATTAAATGTCAAAATAAGAGTCATTTGTTTGTCATCTTGTTTCAGGAAGTTATTAGTTACATAGTTTTATAGTGACAGAGTACAGGCTGATATCTGGTTAGTTAATTTCCTACCTGGTGAGGCGAAGCAAAACACACCGACCTCAAGTAATTTGTTGCAGAACCAACTTGGACAAATTTAAGTGGTCTTCTATTAAAGACTAAAAGTCATAATAATGTTTATAGATAATGTTTAGAGGCTTATATTTGATCTTTGTGATTATACCCCCTGCAAACGAAGTTTGGGGGGGGGGGGGTATATAGGAATCGCCTTGTCCGTCTGTCTGTGCAAACGTGTCCGGTCCATATCTTTCTTATGGAGGGACATTAGAATCTACTACTGTTGGGGAAGTTCAAAGTTACCGGAAGTAAAATTCATAATTTGTGTCCAGTCCATATCTTTCTTATGGATAAACTTGGTAGGTTCTCATTCCATACAAAGATTGCCCATGACCCAAGGGTGTGTCATGACCTTGACCCAAAGTCATTTGGGGAACCTCAAGGTCACTGGAAGAAAAATTTCATAATTCATGTGTGATACATATCTTTATTATGGAAAAACTTACTTCTGAAAAACCCAGCGGGGGGTATTTTGTCCCGTTTGGACAGTTCTAGTTTAAATTAATACCCTCTTTGAAATTGGAGGTACATGTAATGTGGACGAGCTCTTAAAATGATATTCTTCTCTGCAATATTAAGGGCCCAATTGCAATGTTGTAAATATGTGACCTTGAACTTGCCTAAATGACCTTGGTTTAAAATATTCATCCGTAGGTCGCAAGTAATGTTTGATGATCTATGAACATCCAATGTCACAAATTTTCTCCATCAAAAATAGAAAATTCGTTGTTTTGAAATTAACCCTATTCAATATATAGTCATATAAAATTTCCAAAAATGAATTTCTGAAGTAATTTCTGTCAGTGACCATGAAACTGCTAGAATGAATTAGGTCAAGGATTCACCTTCGAGACATTGTTATATGTATTTGAAATATAGACTTCCATTGCTTTTCAGATCATAACATATTGAACCTGATCTTTGTATGAAGTATGAACTCCCAACATTTCTATGTAAAGAAATGGACCAGGTAAGAATTTTATATCTCTTCTAACACTGACCTTGAATTTGCTGAAATAACCTTGAACAATGGGTGAAAAATATTTCAGTTTGAATCGGAGCAGCATCTGTGTATTAATGTATAAACTCTCTAATGCAGCACTTCTGTAGTCTTTTTTACTGTAAATCCCTACCTCTATATATATTTTATTAGACATTTCCACTTTTTTGCTTCCATGCATTTTATTTCATGCAATCTGATACCTCCTCTGTCCTGAACAGAATTTGTCACAAGAACTTAGTAGTTCCCTATGGTGAAATTGAACAGGGCTAAAGATCTCCTCATTGTTCATCTATATGTATCTCCTCTCCCACTTTGTTTTCTGCTATTTATTTCTAAATGCTTGCATGTGTTGAACAATTTTTGGTATGTAAGTGTACTTGAATAGATATAGATCATTCATTTTTTTTTAATTAAGGGGAACTAAATCACACTTACTAGTAGGATAAGTGTGTTGCTTATGCAATACTTTCAGAATGCCTGTTGGACTGAATATTAACAAAAGATTCTGATAGTATAAACCTCGGGCAGGAAAAGTTCATTCATCAATCTCCATCTACGTCACATGCTCGGCAGTTGTATGTGTACCCACAGTACCATCTAAGGTTCAAAACATACACTGTATGTGAAACACTGTAATACTTAAAATAAACAAAGTTCTGAAAGCATTGGACATACAAAAAATGTCGTTTATTACATGTATATTAAATAATTGTTTCTAACGAAACATAATGAAAGATAAGAATTCACATGAGTGTTCCAAATTAAAATATTCACTGGCACATCAAAATGATACCAAAAATAGAATTAAAAGAGGAAAGCACTTTTACAATAAATTTTAAATTATAGTCAATCTATTGGTTATACAGCAAGAACAAGAGACCTGGAAAACCAATAGAAAAAATATACAAAAAACATTTTTGCATGCCACTGTATTTACACTGTACTTTTTAACAATAACTGGTTCACACGACGAAAAAGTTGGAGATACATGCAATAAATTACTATAATGATGCTTGAACTGACCCTTATTTGCCAATATTTTACAGTAAGTTCACTTTTCATAATCCACTAAAAAATGAAAGGGGGTTTGTCCTTTGAAAGAACTTTGCAAACTTTGTCTTCATGAAGTAAGTCACTTGCAATTATGCAGTCTGCCACACAACCTCAATGTCTGGAAAAAAATGTCTTCTATCACAGAAAAGCCCTGCCAGTCTCTGTGGTCACTAGCACTAACATCTACACTGGATATGGTCAGGTGGAACAACACAGAAGTCAACAATTTCTTCCACTGTTCCATTACTCGTGTACAAAACAGATCTGTATTTGTAAGCTTTTCTGTGTCACAAGTGTTGCGATGAATGACTAGGACTATGATGTCTTGAGGCGTTTGCGTTGGGGTCCAAGGGGCGGGCTTTGTTGACTGGCCAGGGCACGAAACGCATCGGCAATGAGATGGGGATGATTCCGTATCAGAGTTTTCCAACCAGGGGTTTCCATTACATCTGTAGCATGACTGCAAAGAAAAACAATAATTATGTTAAAACACCAAACCTCTCATTTCAAACTGGAAGTACATTCATTGTACATGGTAATTTTTAACTAATCCACTTCCTAAACACAATTTCAAAATTTTACCTTAAGCAATTTGAAATACAATGCATGCATCTTGAGAGCAAAAATACCTTTTCAATTTTTGATAGGGACAACATATCATATCCAGTATGAATAATAAGAACACTTTACCTGTTGATGAAATCAATGGCATGAGTTTTAAGCTGATCAGCGCTGTGTAAATCTGCTAACACTAAGACCTCACATACGTTGTCAATCCAGAGACTGGAACATAACGCTTCCTCACACATCACCTTCAATCGGTCTAAGGCGTACTGAAACACAGAAAGCAATTTACTAAATACTGAAACATGGAAAGCAATTTACTACACTGGTGTTTACATACAGGAACATTTGTACATGTTTTACATTTGGAACAATTCCACAAAATGTGATACACATGGCTTACATGTACTTGACCCTTTCTGGTACAAGGTTCTGTGTCCTTTCAATTCAAAATTCAATTAAAATTGAGAGGTAAAATTTGAAAATACTGATTATTGATGTTAAAGTGTAACTTCACAGATTTTAGACAATAGAATTAAATGTACATGTCACAGCTATTTACCTTATCCGCTGCTGCTAGTAGATCATCTGCCATTCTGTCTAAGTTTGGAGCTCTCCCCGTGTATATAAAACGAAGCATCTCTCGCATAACTTCATGGTCTACATCTGTTATATCTACACGATTCTGAAAGCAATGTTTTGAATGTACATGAAAAAAAGAGAACTGATTCAACTAAAAGTAATGTGAGCAATGCAATGACCCCCCTCCCCTCCCATATTTGTATAACAGTAAAGTGCATTTCTTGGCAGCATGTAAAGTATAAGGTGCAAAATGATACCATTTAATAAAGATTTTGTGAAAGTTTCATTTATAAATACATGTATTACATTCAATTGTGTGTAAAAGAGGAGTTAAAGATAAAGAATGGCTACGCCCATGGAATTTGGACAGATGCACAATGAACACCTCAATCACCATAAATCCCTCATTTCTGAAGCATGGGTATAAACATTTTTTTAACAAAAAATTTTGAAAGATACCTGTAATAAATATGAAATTTTTCTCCATCTCTTCAAAGACATTATTAAAAAGATTATATTGCTAAATTTTACCGATTTTAAAATCTTAACAAATTATTTGGTTTCCACATACTTTTTTGCTCTCTTCCATCTCATGTTCGAACATTGCATTGAACACAGGAGATCGTGCTGGAATAGAAAATAACTTTGCTAAATACATATGTATTATCACGAAATTACCTACATGACATGTACAGGTAAACTTTTATATCTTGAACACCGGCATCTTTTGACACAGTGATACCCTTTTTTATGGTATTTCTTATATACATCGAAGTGTCGATCTTGATAAAATTTCCTCAGTGGAGATTAACAAGCAGCAGAATCAAAGTAACAGCAAAACACATGTAATAACAGTATGTAAACCAGTGTTTTCCCTTTATTTTAAAGTAAAGGGTTAGAGATCAGTTATAAGAGGCTAGCGGTTGAGGTTAATGAACAGAATCTCTGTGGACCTTTGTAACAAATTTTTTTTTCAAAACGGCATTTTTGTCAATTGAAGTGGTCAATATGACCGGTAGCCAGTTCTTAGGAAGAACACAATAAACACCTTTCAATAGGATCAAGTCCAACCTTACCTGCCAACACTGCTTTGTGTGCTGAGAACTCCCTTCCTCCTAAGTAGAGAGTGACGTCACTAAACGAGGATCTCTCAAACAGGACCCCCAGGTCATCACTGAGCTTACACTCGGGGACTTTGACTGGGGTACAGTTTGACTGACCGGAAACATTCACTGTGTCACCGACCACCGACACCTGGAGGGAGAAATCACAGAGATATATCAATCAATGCAGGTGTAATTATATACCTTGTGTGTGTGTGAGGAATGATCAACTACTGGAGGAAGAAATCACCGAGCCAGATCAATCAATGCAGGTGTGATTATACCTCTCGTGTATGTGTAAAGAATGATTAACTACCGTACAATGTCATGAATTTATTTGTGAAATATATTTTATTATTAAAGAGTCAAGCTATCATTGTTTAGTGTTGCGAAAATTCTGTGTAACATGTGCTGTACATGTACAGTATTTACTGTATAATAAATCATGGATTCAAACATTTAATACCTGGTACTGTATAATACCTACTGCAATTCCATGAATAGCTGTAAAAATCTTTCACTATAAAATGATGAGACATGTAAATTATACTCACATGCCTGTTGAACAGACTATATTTTTTTGTGTCTGAGAAAGTGTGTCACAAATTAACCAGTTTATTGGATGCACTTTGGAATTATTTCCTTTGCCAACCACACTTTCATTAGGAAAGCCCTATTAGTTTTAGGGCCAGTACCTTTGTAATACATGTGTAGTCTAACACCTTTAAATATCACCAGACATACCTGGAGTAATCAATAACTGAGCTCCCTAGTACATTCAATACATTGCATGCATAAAAGCTCTATGATTGCTTAATATCTAGCAACAAAGTGATCAAAGATAACTAATTCTTCTTCCATATTTTTTTTTTAAATGTTGTCCTTTAAATTACAGCAAGCTTTTCATATACATGTATATACAAACTGACATGAAGTATAATACTTAACTTTTCATGGATGTAATTCTACACACTTATGTGAAGTGTGTAAAGTGTCAATTATAGGAAAATAATTTATATACTTGTATAGCATGAATGACTTATTGTAAACATGTTCAACAATACTACATTGTATACGCACACAACAGTCAATAATCATATTCTATACAATTAATCTGTCATAATAAGAATAGTTTGAAAATTTACCTCTCTACGTGAATATACATGAATACTGTATACAGGGTTATTTTTGCCCCGCTTTATTTATGCCCTTTTACACTTGCAAACAATTTTGCAATGTCTTAAATATAGTCCAGTCACAGTTCTGTTTAAGAAATTGTACTGTATTCTTTGAATTCGCCTCGACTTAAATTCGCCGAGGGTAGGGCGAAAGGGACGAAAATAAAACGGAGGCGAAAATTTCCCTGTATACAGTATAGAATTTTATCCATGCATTGTCTGAACCAGAGCACAAAGAAATGTAAACGAAGTTACTTATTAACTAAGAGAGAGAGAGAAAAAGACACCAACCTCACAAAATATTGTTAGTTTATCATCTGGTAAGAGACCGTTGGCTTCATCCATTAAAAAGTCCCTCCTTATAAACTTTTTAAATCCCCAGTCCTTTCCTTGTACAAAGCGGTAAGCTCTTTGGCTTTCTGTGGAAAGAAATTACATTGGGTAATATTTATTTACTTTGATCATTGGGTAATATTTATTTACTTTGATCATCATATATTTGTATTCATCTAAAATCTATCTTGCAATTCTTAGTTACAAGTATAACTTAAAAGCATGTTAATGCTTATGAATGATTATTACTAATCTGAAATTGAACTAAAATTATTACCCATCGCCTTTGTTTCTTCTCTTTTGGCATTCAGTATTGAAAATTTGAACTTTGCTCTAACTTCACTTTTGTTACATGACACTAATAATAAATAAAGAGATAAATAGTCTTTGCTTTCTTCATCTAATCCTTTAGGATTCACTCGTAAACACCTGAAACAAAAAAAAAATAATGTTAATGTATAGAATACACCTAAAGTCGAATATCATCAAAAGTTTCTATTGAGATTGGCACGTCAACACTTATTGTTTTATTGGCAATCGTAAGTGGAAAATGGGTATCTATCACTAAATGAACGTTAAGTTTTCAATATATTATTATATTGTCATTTTGCTATTAATGAAGGAACACTTTAATGTTACCATTTGAGTTTGTCGTTTGCTCCTGCTGAGAATGTGGAACTTTTTAACACTTCTCCCATCTCTTCTCTACAGAAGCTGAAGTTATTGATTGTCCATATGTAGGAAAACTTGACAACTTTCACCTATATATACACATAAAAAAAAAAAAAAGCATGAAACATTTAATGAAATTTAAAAAAGTGATAACTACATCTAACTTATAAACAGGGATGATTCCATTACTATGTACAATGACAAATTATACATCCTTTGTTGTTGTTTTTTTTTTATATTATGTACTGTATAGCGGGTTTTCTTGGCGAGCGTAAAATTTGGCGTTTTTCCTGCTTAAAGGTAAGCCAATAAATTTGGAGCAGGGCTCGACATTAACTTTTTTTCCTACTTGTCCATTCGGACAAGTGACCAAGACATTTACTTGTCCAAATTTCAACTTCACTTGTCCAAAAATTTTCAATAAAGTTTAATAGTTTCAACTTGAAAATTAAAATTAAGTCCATTTATTTACACATGTCATGCGCTTGCTTGATTCTTGATGTTATTGTTACAGACAGATAAAACAAAATTTAATTTAGGCTTTCTGTGCTGACAATAACATAAATGTCCACAAGTGAAACTGTCAACATCAAACAATATTCATTACTTCGGTTCGTATCTTCCATGACTTTTCAGTGCAATTATAGTGAACTTCGATCCCGATCGAATGTGAACTCAATATTAATATAGCGATACATATCGGGATCGAAGTTTGGATTTTATGTACAGCTTCCGTCTTCAGTTGAGACTACCGATTTAGCTTTCAACAGTCGTTCTTTTTATTATTTAGAGACCCCTTTACATTAAAATGCACTTGTCCAATCGGACAAGTGCCCAGCAATATTCACTTGTCCGTATTTATTTTTCATTGGTACCGGACAAGCGGACAAGCGTTAATGTCGAGCCCTGTGGAGTCATTTTTTTTAGCGGTCACAGGGTTTCAGCTCTTTGCAGATGAACAATAAGAAGAGTACTGCAGATTTTAGCAATTAAAATTTTACCAGGATACCTTCACAATGCCAAAATAAGCCAAAATTAGCACCCCGCGAAAAATAACCCACTATACGGTATATTAATTCTTACACTGTTATATAACCAGCCTGACTAACCTGTGTATAACACCAGTTCTCAGCCACTGGACATGTCATCTCTGGAGGAGGGGGCGTGGCCACCCGTCCAGAGATGGATATCCTCCCGGAGTGTTCCGGAGCGGATGACGCTTCACGATCCAGATTGTCAATTTTTGAAGGTCCACAAAACAGATATTCTTTGAATCCGAATTATGTAGTTCAGTTAATCTGGCTTTTCCTAATTCTGTAATAAAACAAAATATATGATTATATTTTTTTTAAAAATAAAAATGACATTATGTAAGCCATTAATGAATCATTGGTACATATAGATAATTCAGAATACCTGGATGTCTATGAGACTAAAGAAAATTTAGAGAGAGAAAAAGAGTTTATTTTCAATTCAGAATTTCCCAGGTGGTTAGTTTAGTTGACAGGTTTAAAAATTTGTCGAAGTGACTGTCAAAATGCTATGACTATCAAATGTGTGCTTTATGATATTTTCTTTGTAAACATTTTATATCGAGGGCCGTTAAAAAATTATGTGTATTATTTACTCTTACAGACGTCATATAGTTATAAAATTTCACAGACATATGTATCTTAAAGATTCCAATAAATTTTGGGCAAAATTTCTGTATTTTGAAAAAATTCTACTAAAATTGTCGGTATGTTGATATCGTTGATGGAGAAGTACGGCGCACGACAAAAAAAATTGAAGCAAAAGCATGCGGATTAAAAAAAAAACGCACTGATTTTTAAAAATTCGATATTTTTCAACAATTAATACCTGTAAATTATCATTATTATGTATTTAGAAACGTAATATTTGAAGTACTAACAGAAATATAGTGATTTTTCTCTGATGCGATTCCCGTGAAAATGACTGTGAAAATGACGTCTAACGGCGCACCACACTTTTGTTAAAATATGTGTATTGCTCGAGATATGGCAACATGTCCAAAATATATAAAACATGTAGTAAACTAGTGACATTCGCCCACAAATAGCAAATTGAAATAGACAGTTAGATAAAAAGGCTATACGGGAGGACGGGAAGAAGATTATAGATGAAAAGTTAACTTTATCCGGACTGTAAAGAACGTGATTGAGAGTAACCAATATCACACTATATCTCATAAGTAGTTTTTGGTTTTTAAAACAAAAAAAAAAAGAATATACTTGTTTAATAGAAAGCTTATGGTGTTTTGATGTAAGTAGATCTGGTAACTCAAACTACACAGGTACTCAAGGGAAAATGTTGAGGAAATGAAAGCTCAATCACATATTTTTTTATAATGCTTGTGAGAAGATTTTGCTGCGCCGTACTTAATGGTATGAGTATGAAACCTAAGTAAAGATTCTTTTATATTATTTGTCCTATTTCAGCATATTTAAAGTTCAATAGTTCATTATCATAATTATTGTAAATACATTACATTTGCTAACACCTTGATCCTCATTACTGTTACTTGCTAGATTTTCCATTTATTATGCAACAAAATAGGCCTACAGCAAAGTAAAACAAACTTTTAAACACCATAAATGTCACACTGTCCGTATTAATCTTCTTTGTTCAGTCATGTTTTCTGGGACCATACTGCACACAGAACAATAAATTTAATGTACTAAAGCTTCCACAGTTTAGCATACCATATTTGAAATCCTGAAATAGTTTGCAAAACACTTATTGCCATAAATCGAGATTTACTGTGTACACAAGAACATATCAAGCGTGTAGTCTAGCCTACATATTTTCGTCTGCTTTTCAGGTCAACCGGAAGCTCATAAATAAATTGTTCTTACTTCATTAACTTTACGCTTCCTATGTCCCTTTTCATACTAACACTACCTTATAGCTTCCTTCTTTGAATACCCTCCGTTGTTTAACATATAATTTATCACAGTTATTTTAATTCATGTCACAGCTGACCTGTCGATACCCGTACGATTTCAGCAGAAAAATAGGTCAGGAAGCTGTTTATAACCACACTTTGAACAACTTACCATATCTGTTATATAAGCAAGATTTACATCTTCAAAGGTTTCAGCAATATCCACCGATATAAACTTAAATTAATAAAACTAAGGCATCTAGAAATTTTCCCTTTATCATCAAGATTTCTTGTTTTTCAGCTGTTTGAGCATGCGTATTTCGAGAAGCTTTGGAGTACGATTTTTGAGAACGAGGTTTTGACCGAGGGCAACTAAATGCTCGAAATAGTCCTTCAAGAGGTAGATAAACATTGTCAATATCGTTAAGGACATTTTACTTTAGTAAGACTCTGTTCATTTTCTCTTAAAGTAATAGAAACAATTACTTTTCAATCCATCCTTCATTTTTAAAATTAAACTTTACAAATTACAGAGAAATCGGTTAAAGATGAACTGATCGCAGGGCGGATCTAATACTAATTGTGTCATTACCGACTGACACTCCGCACGAGTAAAAAATACTCTCAATATCCATATAAAATATTTTTATATAAGTTATATTGATATCAGACCAAAACCGTAGGAGGAGTAGCATTTTAAAAGCATTTCACAGAAAATTCTATTTTTAATAGCCACAGCAACACCATTCATCGAAATCAAAAAGCGATATACTGAATATGTATCTTAGTGTAGTCTACTTGTGTCAGTTGTGTGCCAAGTTATATTGAAATCAGATTAAAATTGTATGAGGAGTAGCATTTTAAAAGTATTTAACATAAATTTTGATTTTTAGTAACCACCGCAACACCGTTCATCGAAATCAAAAACCGATCCATAGAATTATGTATCTTGTGTAGTCTACTTATGTGCCAAGTGATATTGAAATCAGATTAAAACTGTAGGAGGAGTAGCATTTTAAAAGTATTTCACAGAAAATTCTATTTTTAGTAACCATCGCAACACCGTTCATCGAAATCAAAAACCGATACACAGAATTTTGTATCTTAGTGTAGTCTACTTGTGTGCCAAGTTATATTGAAATCAGATTAAAACTGTAGGAGGATCGGAGTAGCATTTTAAAAGTATTTCACAGAAATTTCGATTTTTAATTAGTAAACACGGCAACATCGTTCATCGAAATGAAAAACCGTTACACAGAATTATGTATCTTAAGTAGTCTACTTGTGTGCCAAGTTTTATTGAAATCAGACCAAAACTGTAGGAGGAGTAGCATTTCGAAAAATTGTTAACAGACAGACGGGCAGACGGACGACGGACGCATTACCATCGCATAAGCTCTCCTGGTCTTTGACCAGTAGAGCTAAAAATAAGTTACAAATAACTACCTTGAACCCCCCACCCCTTCCTGCACGATGGCAGTAGTAAAATTATAAGAAAAAATGGTTTGATTCAGATCTTTGGAAAATGAAGAAACAACTTAGTGAAAAGGCTATCTTAATATCTAAATTTCCTAACAACCCTTTCATACGAGGGTCTTATTTCAAAGCTAAAAAAGTGTATGCTAAATTAAATAAATACAAAAAACGACAGTTTGTTCAAAATATTTTCGACAAGTTAGATCAACTAAAGGAAAATAATCCTAAAGAATACTGGAATTTAGTCGCATCAATCAGAGAAGCCAAAGAGGGGAATAAGGAAAAAACTGAGAAATGTATTGAACCAGATATGTGGCATAACTACTTTAGTACCCTGTTTAAACTGCCTAATAAGCATTCAGAGAGACTACAAATTATTCAAAATAAAATTAAGGAACTTGAAAATGGACCAAACTTTATATCGTTTAGTAAACTAGACTTTAAAATCTCTTTAAAGGAATTACAAAAATCTTTGTCTAGTATAAAATCTGATAAAAGCCCTGGCCTGGATAATATTACCAACGAAATGTTGAGAGTAGCACAAATTTACATGAATCCTTGTATTCTAAAATTGTTTAACAATGTCTTCACTTCCGGAATTTATCCCAGAAAATGGGTAGAAGGTTATATAACACCTATTTTTAAATCAGAAAATCCCCGATTACCCCAAAATTATAGAGGCATAACCATTACCAACAGTATTGGCAAACTTTTCAATATAATACTTAACAATAGATTAGATAATTTTTTATCGGAAAATAATTTAATTCTGTTTGTATTCTTGTCTCTCATTGGTTGATTTCCAAAAAGGAACGCATAACATTTTGTATAATCTGGTTTGGTATGGGGACACACCCCCTTGACAACCAGCTGAATCATCTGTATCCATCAATCCCCTCATTTCCAGTCCTTCGGATTCATGAAAAATTCCAGATTTAATGAATGTACCTTTAACTTCAAACAGTTGCTCGATCTTACCTCATGTAAACAAGCATCATGGCTGCTAGATCTATGTATCAGTTTTTACCTCCCCTTGCTTCCCATCACTTCCGTTACTACGGTTGTATTATTGCGCGGTAAATTTGAACTAATAAAAACAACACAATTTTACATCCCCAGTTGTTTAATTATTTTAAAATTAAATTATAAGGAATGACTCTAATTCTTGGCCAGATTATCGAGTATAATATGGTTTGGGTCAGTTTACGCTTTTTTATAATCCGCTTCGCGGATTATAAAGCGTAAACTGACCCAAACCATATTATACTCGATAATCTGGCCAAGAATTAGAGTCATTCCTTAAATAACATCATTCACGAAAGCCAAATAGGATTTTCAAAAAAAGCTAGAACTTCGGATCATTTATTTGTAATGAAATGTCTGATCGACAAATACACCAACAAAGGTAATAAACGTTTGTATGCTTGCTTCGTTGACTTCCATAAAGCATTTGATACAATAATACACGAAGGCATAAAACTTAAACTTCTTCAATTGAATATAAATGGATTATTCTACAAAATAATATGCAGTATGTACAAATACAGTTATATCTCGATTAAAATTGATAATAAATTAACCCAACCTTTCTCACCTGAACTAGGAGTAAGACAAGGTGATGTCTTAAGCCCGAATATATTCAAAATATTCTTAAATGATCTCGCAAATTTACTAAATGAAGATGTTGTTAACTCAGTCTCACTTTTCAAAAAGCAAATAGGAGCTTTATTATATGCAGACGACTTAGTATTATTATCTGACAACCAGCTAGCCCTGCAACAAAAACTTGATATGTTATACAAATATTGTAAAGAATGGTGTTTGGAAATCAATGTTAACAAAACAAAAGTAATTATTTTCAACAGAAGTGGGCATTTATTAAACGAAACATTTTCAATTAATGGTATTAATATAGAATGTGTAAAAACGTATAAATACCTAGGAATAATACTCTCAAATTCTGGTTCTTTCAAAGAAGCAAGGTGTAATTTATATAACAAAGCTTTAAAGTCATCATTTAAAATATACAAAGATATAAAATCAACAGATCCACCCATTAAAACTTTACTTCATCTATTTGATCACATGATCAAGCCAATAGCTACCTATGGATCCGAAATATGGGGTGTATTGTCATCATCAATGCAAAGAAAAGAAAAATGTTTATTTGATATATTTAAAGACTGGGAGATTGAAAATCTTCATATGAAATTTTGCAAATTTATCATAGGGTCTGGGAAAAGAAGTACCAATATTGCAGTTCTCTCTGAACTGGGTAGACAACCAATATTTTATTCTATTATTATAGCAATTATATCTTACTGGCACAGACTGGAAAACATGCCTGAAAACTCTTTGTTATACAGTGCATACAAAGAAAGCATTATCTTGGACAGTTGTAATGTAAATAGTTGGTTTTCAAATGTAACATATTTCTGTAACAGAATGGGCATAGATTTGTCAAGATGTAAATCAATGAAACTAATAACTTTAAAGAAACATCTGAAAAAAATTATTAGAGAAGATTTCCTTCAATATTGGTTTAAACAAAGAGATGGTGGTTGTCTATCGGGTAAACTTACAACATATTTCTATATAAAAAGAAGTTTTGAAATTGAAAAGTATTTATTATTAAAAAATTTTGAACAAAGAAAAATTATATGCAAATTTAGAGTGAGTTCACATAACCTCAGAATAGAAAGTGGAAGGTACGAAAAAAACTAAACTCTGCTGGAGAGCAAACCACCCTTGCAAGAAATGAAAGAATTTGTAGAATGTGCGACATGAACTGTGTGGAAGATGAGATACACTCACTGATTGAATGTCCATTATATAAGCATGATAGAGATGACTTTTTTAATATTATTGCTTAAAGTAATAAAAATTTCTATACTTTAACAAATAAAGAAAAATTTTTATGGATTATGTCTAATGAAGATGACATGTTGCTTATCAAGCTGGGTAATTTTTTAATCAATATCTTTAAAATAAGAAAAAGCAAATTATGCAATGTTAAACAAAGAAACAAATAAATACAAAAGAGTAATATATAGAAATACTTGAAACAAACTTTTATTTACAGTATATTGATTATGTATGTTGTAATCCCCAACTGCTGTAACATCATTTATCTTTTGTTAGTTACTGCTATCAATTTTGAATTTCTGCTTGTATGTTTTTTTTTTCCTTATTACTTGTATGCCCTGATGGGCCCCAAATTGGTATTAATAAATCTTATATAAGAGGATATTTACACGAACAAAAAGACTTAGGCCTAACATATATTTAGGAAAGCGTGTGTGTTCACCCTTTTAATTCCCTACCATGTCTCAGATTTGTTGACGTGTTTTTTTTTAAATATTATCATAATATATTATTCAAGTAATTACCTTCCTTTGTGACACCCCCCCCCCCCCCCCCGGACGGCGGTAGTCTCAAAGTACTGCAGTTTTGTGCAGGAACAGGTCAAGGAATCGTGTATATTGCCATATAGACCTGAAAATGATTTAGGTCTATGATACATATGATATAGGGAACTTTTTCTCTCTCTCCTTAACTACGACCATAACAAGTCTTTTAGGTTTTTATCTTATCAATGTTTAACTACATGTATTCATATTATTTTGATTTTTTTGTTTTTGTTTTGTCAAATGTCTGAAAAGTTCTGTTAGAATTGATTCCCCTGGGTGGGGTTGGGGTAGTAACTCCTGGATCCGCTCCAAAGGTTAAACTCGTATCCAGATGCTAAAATAAAATTGTAACGCCAAAGGATTTCATATAAAAAAAGTCACAAAACCAAATAACTCTGTAAACACTATATTGATTGTGTATTAAATAGAAACATATTGTTTGAATGTTC